TGGGGGGGTGGCGGGAAGAAGCAGTAGCAGAGAACAGCACCAGAGACTCTGACACAGAGGTGCAGGAAAAAGGAAAACAGTGGGAAACCACCTGCCCCATGGCTGCCAGGCTGAGAAAATTCCAGGGGATGGGGCAAGGAACAGGCAGAGACACTTTAGCCTTTTCCAGAAGCCAAGGCATAGAGTTCTTTAGATTTATCAGACTGAATTATAATTACTCTGACATATAAAAAATGAAAGCTTCAGCACAGTGCAGGGCCAGGAATCTGCAATTTGCTACAGTTATTGAAAATGTGATGGGGGATGGGAAGAGCTTTGACTTTTCAGTCAGGGTACTGCTCTAAAGAAATAAATTTTCAGTATGTGCTTAAAATTGCTTGGTAAATATTTTGAAGTCATAAAGAAATTAACACATAGAGACAAAATCAAGTCTAAACATTTTATCTCCAATCCAAACTTCACATTCTAATGCATCCCTACTTATTTTGGCTGCACCACTGGGATCTCAATAGATCTAAAGGAGGAGCACCTATTCAAATTAGTACTGCTATCAGTTTCCTCCTAAATGAACATATTCACAAACAGCTTGTTATATGTGTTTCAATTTATGAGAAACCAGTCTTCAAAATTTAGGAAAAAGTCTGGCAGATAATGAAATTTCAGCATGGAACAGAACAGCCGAACAGCCAAATGGAATGCAGACCAGAAAATCAAATCACAGAAGTGTAAGAATAAAAAGATTTAAGTTTGGAGCTGTTTTTCTTCTAGCGAGATGAATAAAATATTGTAAATATTTTGTACCATGTCATTCAGTACTACCACTGGAATGGTAATGAATGAATAAAAGCAGAAAGGTTTATAGAATCCCAAGTAAAATCCAATATTCATCAAAAATAGTGGAAATAAAAAGTTGCCATGTAGAACATCTACATGCAAGGGCCACACTGCTTGTCCAGGCAGGAGGTAATATCAATGCAGATTTAAGGTAGACACCTGCCATGCATGCCATCATAACTCAAGCGAGTTGATTTTATGGCTAAGAGCAATATTTTAAGACTACTGCATCAAGGGAAAATCTGCAATTTTTTTAAGACCCTTTGATGTACCCAGTGTATGCTTTGCAGCTCCAATAGACATCTCCCTCTACACATTTGGCCTGCACCAAATAGGGAAGATGAGATAATACTCTGAATCCAGCAATGTGTACGCAACCAACGAACAATTAAACCAAGTAGTAAAAAGCAGGTGACTGGAAAACATGGAACCGAAGCTTACAGTGTATCAAGAAATATCCTTACACTTAAAAAATTATAATGCACTCCAAAACCCATTTGTTCAGGCAATCCATGTACAACAGAAGGCACTGTTATCCATATGTATCTATCAATTCTGCACAGCAAAAACCTGAGAAGTGCAACTCAATTAGATGCAGCCTGGCCCCTCCCAGTCATTCAGGTTCCTTGAGGACAAATGTTTCCTTTCAGTTCATCAAATTATAAAAACACCACAAGAATTTGTACATTACAGTAGCTGGTTAGAAAGAGCATTCTGGTGGGGGAAGCACACTGCTATTTTCCATAAAACCTTCAGCAGCATTAAATTACCCTCCCCTATTATTCAGAAGTCACGATGATTTCGAAAAAATGTAATGATGAGACCCTTCCCATGGACCTTTGTAGCTGATCCTTCAGTTGCCACCAGGAGTACTTCCAGCAAAGTTAAATGCTGTGATCAGTCCTTTGTTGTCAAATGTGTAGCTGCTTTGTTGTTCTATTGTCTTACTCTCTAGAATTCAAAAAAAGGAAAGGATGTGAAAAATAGTGTATAGGGAATGCTTTTGCCAGAAACAATACAGCTTGACTAAGAAGGCAAAGTTGTGGAAAAAAATTTAGGTTGAGTCAAAATTTCATTCCCTAAATGCAGTGACAGTAATAAATTACACTTGGATTTTCTCTAAATGCATAAATGCACACACCTCTACAACAGAGCTGAGAAATGAATCTCGACAGAGTCATGTTATGTTAGACTATCCTCCATGCTTTTGAATTAAATCTGAATTTATTTTCCACGATACAAGCTTTCTAAACCTCTAAAACCTTACACTGACTGTGACAGCAACATTAGCAGTTAAAAAGTTACAAAACTGCTAAACACATAATAATCTGTAGCAATCTTCATCAAATGCCTGGCTGACAGCTAGATATTGCCTTAATCTGCTCTTCATTTCAAATGTCAGATTGTGCAAAACTAGTTGGTACCCCGTTCAAAGAGCAGCACATGTCAATGAGAAGGCAATTAATTAGAAGCAACAGTAATCCCTCTGAATAACACGTATTTCCAGGCAAGAGATAATATAAGCACAACATCCTACTCACACTTCTCAGGAAATGTTAATTAGCACAGAGATTTATTTATTCTCACTGTTGTTACAGATTAGATGCAGTTCCAACATCCCTGCAACAGACAAAATGGCCCCAGAGAAGTGACTCACCTGCAGCATTTCGCCGGTGTTCTGCTAATGTATAAATTTCCTGCAGCTGTTTCTTCTGATCCTCACTCAAAGGTGCCGTCAGTGAATGGTACCAGGCTGCATCTCGGCTCTGCACCGCTGTCAGAACAGGAATGGATGAAAAGTGATTATCACATTACACTGAAAGTTAATTTACACTGCAAGTTAATTTCAGAAGAACAAAATGAAACACACTGAATCCCTGGTAGGTTTTAAAACAGAATTTGCACTGCAAAACAGGTTTGGTATTCCTGTCAGTTTTCTTAGCACAGAATTCCCACTGGAATAGAGGCCATCCATTCTGGCGAACTTAATCGCACCCTCTGCTTTCTGAAACAGAAAGTTAACCATGTGGTCATTATTCATGGACAATGATGAAGTGAATCTTCTAATTTAAAACCCATATCAAAATTAAAAGCAAGAGGATTAGTCAAACAGGAAAGGGGAAAAATAATTTCTCCATTACGATTTTAACATCTAGAAAGTGACAAATATTTCTATATATAGGAGTCCCTCTAGTGACCGAGTCCCACTTACTTAGGCTGTGATTGAAAAGTTCTGAAAGAAAACATGAAGAGAATTAATCTCTGTCATATTTGCTACCATTTGTTTTTTGCAATACTTTTAAGCCAAAAAATTCTTAGGACTAACATTAGAAAGCAAGATCACATTTCCCAGTTTCAATAATCCAAATTATTACTCATAACAAAGAAAATGTTTTTTTCCTGGTGATGATTGTAAACACCTCCAAACTATTTCATCTTGTTTTATCATTCTGCCAACTAGCAAACACATACCTAGAAGTGCTTGTGTGAAAAACTGGTATTCATCAACACCATTTTCAAGGTCAAGAGGTGTGCTGAACCCTTCAAGAGCAGTCTCTTCCAATACATCTTCATCCCAGTCGTCATCATCATCATCATCTTCATCCTCTTCCTCTCCACCTCCACCACCACCACCTCCTCCTCCTCCTCCTCCACCATGATTCTCTTGCATTGCCTGGCTCACTTCATTTGTCTCCTCCTCATCACTCGGTATCTCTTCTGCAAAAGCATTGATGTGTTTTGTAAAAAAAAAAGTTTAACAACATTTAAACAATGACTTATGAATGAATAATAACTGATAAATTTAGGGTTTGGGTGGAAAGGGGACCCTCTGTTAACATCCTTCCCCCAAAATCTTATAATTATGGAAAAATGAAGCTGTTAATGTTTCCTACATTCAAGACCAGTTAAACTTTTGTTTCTAAGCACACCTGGAAATGTGAAACTGCCATTATTTTTCTTTCATTTATGCTGTCATTGTGCAATTATAGGATCCAAAAATTTTGAGGAAATGTGTCTTTGACAAAGTATTCCATCACTGTGCTTTTCAAATTACACAGACTTGCATAGACTTCACAAATTGTCACAAAACAAAGAGAAAACCAGATGTAGACCAAATATCTGCTTGCTGTTCTTCAGAGTGCTCCTTTATTTGAACAAAGTTAAAATAGCATCTTTCTCTTAGCTTTACCTTCCACCCCGTTTATGAAACAAGTACATCCTGAATTAAACGCAGTTCCAACATGCAATTCTAAACACTGCTATTTCTTACTTAAGGAAAAATATTTCTGACTTATAATCAAGATTAAACAACTCCCCCCTCCAATTCCAAACCTTCAGGTCCTCCTGTGTTAACAGTTTAGAAAGAATAAAGATGACTATGTCTGCAACAAGCAGGACAGAGATTTGAAATTTAATGTGCTGTTTCCACGCTGTGTTCCTAGGCATTGAGAAGAATTCTGTAATTCCATTACAGGACAATCATGTGTGAAATCTGAGTGGATTACATAATCTGTTTACATCCAATATAATTTTCAGACCTCAAACCATCTATCTCCTGTTCCAAGTCAAATACAGCCACACATATCTGCCTGAAATGCTGTGTAAAATTCACTCCCCACAATTCCCTCCACAAGGTATTCTTTGATGTTTTTTTCCTTCTGGCAGACACAGCAGTAAGAGGTCTGTCTACTGCAGGAACCTCAGATGTCTCAAACCCGACTTTGCAAATCACTTTCCATTTGGACAAAGAAAACTTGCTAGGATTTCTTTCAAAGTTCAACCAAACGGGTCTTTCAAATAGCTGAGTACTAGGAACAGCTTCTTTCCAGGAATCAAGAATATAACCAATGCAGTCCTGGCAAACTCCTGCTGCCTACGCGAGAAGACAGAGCACATTCACAACCCAGAAGAGCAGACTTGCAAGTTTTATTGTAACTCTTAAACCAATGCTACCCTTTCACAAAGTGTTAGCTGTTATACATTGAAACGTTTTGATTATATTTTGGGAGGAAAAATCAATTCCTAAGATGATCTTTCAAGCACCCAGTAAGCTGAGCTGTTTTCAGCAGACTAATGAGTCTTAAAAATGAACTGCAATTTCTTACCCCCTTTAAATTAAATCCAGACAAAATCCACAATGTGAAAAGGGGAGATTTTACCATTATCTTCTGCAACGTGTTTTTCATCTTTAGCATGATCCTCATGTTCTGTGAGTTCTCGTGAGGCGCAAACTTGTTTTAAGCCCAGAAAGAGGAGGAGGATTGAAGGGACAATCTGAGCAGCCACAGCATCCACTGCAGGCGGTCGGTTTTGCAATTCCATTAGGATGCTCAGTCCTATTATACACATCTTTCTGTCATGTAGTCTGAAACAACACACACTTGTTAGACAAAACCAGACTTTCACTGCAAGGATATGTGGGGAGCATTAAAGTCCTAATGTTTAACATGGCAGAAAGTGTCATAGAGACTATGTTCAAAGTCTATGTTTGAAGCTCCTAAACACATGATTTCCTTTGTTCGGAATGCAAGTTCCCCCTGGACCAGTAACAATTAAATACCTTTCAAGCACTGGTCAAATTCCTGAAACAACTGTTTCTGATTACCCAGTGCAAAGTTTGCAATGCTAAATAAATACTGTTTAATAATTATGTAGAATATCTTGTCTTTAATAAAGCATTTGATACAGATTATCATCATTAAATAGGATGGAAAATTAATTTGCCTTGGCTTCGACAGCAGTACCATTGCAGGGATTGAAATTAGTAAAAAGACTATTAGTGAAGAGTAATGAAAGCAGGAATTCACTGAATTGCAGGGTGCATTTATAGTGTGCCACAGGGCTAGCTGTATTTAAACATGTTTATTAAGAGTCCATCAGAATGGATGTATTATAAATACAATTTCTGACACGTGACTCCAGTGAAAGTAGGGAAATAATTCCATCATATCAAGAATAACCAGCTGTACACTCAAACAGGGAACTAGCAAATGAGTAGACCTCCATTAAAACAAACAAACAAGATAATTGAAGGGAAATAAAATCATGAAATTAGTAGCAGAAATATTTTTATATGACCATAGCCAGGAAACTAGGTAAGAGCCTATGCTCTTAAAAATAAAAATTGATTTTCACTTCCAGAAATAGAAGTTATTTTCAAACAAGACAGGGAAAAACTTCTAACTGCCTCTGTAGATACTCTTTGGTTCTCCTTTACTGGAAACACCAATAGTATTCAACTCTTCTCTAACATTATAGTATTTTGCTATTAACGGCTTGAGGGAAGCTTGTTTTATTTGAACTAATCAATTTGATGCTGACAGCTCTGTGCAAATCTTCTACAGGACAAGTAGTTCCAGCAAAAAACTTCAGCAAGACCTACAGAAACCAAGCAAGCCTCCAGAGCTGGCAGAAAATGGCTGTCCTCCAGACTCTCAGTAGATACTTCTGTGACTGAATCAGTTTTACTTTGGAATGAAGAGGAACATGTTGAGACAGAAGAAACTAGTAAGATTTGCACCACAGACTGCAATAAAGCTTACAGGGGAACAGCCAGTTCAATCAATCACTTCAAAAGTTGCTACAGAAATACAATTTTAAAAGTGCTTACAGTTTCATTACCAAAGATCCCATGTAACATACTACTGATCTGTAATACTCTTTAAGGAATACAAGAGATCATGTATTACAGCTTTCTGAACTTTACATGAGCTTAAACAAGGCTGGGCATTTAGAGAGATTTCATGACACCTCCCACGTTGTTAGTCCTTTTAGGGCTTAGTGAAGTGATTCCATTCTGAGAGTAGTTGACAACAACAATAAATTCTATGTGAACATGCGTAACATTATGATCACAGAAGACCTTCCAAGAAAAACAAAGTCAACCGGCATATCAAATGGCACACTTTGTCATAATGGGTTTGGCTGCTCCATTACACGTGTTGAAAAATGTACCAAAATGCAAGCAGGCAAAGAGCATCCTTCCATCACTGCTAACTGCAATACTTTCTTTTCAGAAGGAATGGGGCACAAAAGAGGGCATACAAATCAACCAAGGAAACTGAGTCAACAAAACAGGGTCTGCTTTCACGAAAAAAATAACTGTGCCTCTTAGTCCTGTCAGTTTATCTATGTTAAAAACAAGCTCATTGCCATTTGCTCTCATGCCAACACTGTGAAAACCAAAATCCAAGCTAAAGATGCTACGTAAGAATGAAGCATAGCTTTTTTGGGAGAGCTGTCCTTACTGCAAATACCAAAGGAAAGAACTGTCTCTACCTCCTCTCTCTGCCAGCACCTTCATCCAAGTTTGACCAAAGCTCTGTAATCTATGCACAAGATTTCTATCCTGCATCTTGACACCGGGGAGCCATGAATTTTCTTCAAGCCCCAAATGTATAATGAAACACTGTGAGTGTACATGCGCCAGAGTAGTTAATGACACTTGGCACTACTTTTTATAACACGTTTGAAAAAGCTACCGTTACACAATGGCAATTGCAAAATGCAACACAGTAAAATGTAAAAAAATCTTAGTAATTAGTGGCTTAGCTTCATACTAAATTATCTTTTCTGGACAGCAAATGAAAGTGCAAGAACCAAGCACTGCTGTTTAAAAGGAAGTCATCATTTGGAAGCAGCACAAATGGCCAAAAAATACAGCATATTTGTCATGCTCCATTTTCAAGCTTCTAAACAGAAAAGTTGTAAGAATGAACACATCTTCAGAATATGCATGTTTTTAGAACACCCAGCAGGACAGCAGAAATCCAGGCATCAAGCCATCTTTAGTGAACCTAAGCCAGAAGGAGACTTGTTTCTTGTACCTGTTAGAGACAAACACTAGGACAAGCATCAGCCTTGCCTGAGGTTCAGCATTTACTACACCTCAACTATATCAAGTACCCTCAGGACTGAACAAGCAAAACAGAGTTTTACATCATTTACATCTTTTCATAATGGCAAAGAATGGTTTCAGGACCATTCAGGTCCATATCAAGAGGGTCATTATTTCAGCACCCTTCCATCTGCATGAGGGAGCCTGGATATGATTCTCCTTAGTGTTCTGTGTTTGAGATCCATCCTTATTTACAGCAGCACACAAGAGTCCTCCCTAACAATCACGGACTCTGCTTGCTCCCTCAACAGTATATCAAGCCTGGAGTGCTAAACATGCAACACATGGTAGTGCAATGCACAACTCCTAGGCAAGTCTGTTTTTAACAAGCTGCGTGTGGTCTCCATAATCTGCAGAACATTTTCTTGCTAATACACTTCCTTCCAATACAGGACAAAAAGATCTAAGAATCTTTTGAATTTTAAACCAAGCTGAAAGTATTTCAAAGGGAAATCACTAAGCCTTTACTGGTCTGCTGTGCTCCTTTATGTGAGGATCAAGTTGCTTTCTATTACATCAATCCAGTTTCTCAACAAACTGCAAATAATTGACCATTTCCTTCTAGTTGCAAAGTTGGAACCAACCCTGTTTTCATATATAAGACTGGGATTTTTATATACAACTCTGAGAAAACTAGGATTTCTAACTATTTAAACTCCTAGCAAATAAATCCCTTATTCAGCTTCTAAAAAAATAAAATTACTTACTGAAGGGTTTTTTAAAGCAATTTAGATTTTCACCCTAGTTTCCATGGAAGAATTTTTAATATGAGAGTAAGCATAAATCATGCAGAAGTCTCACTCAAATTTCAGCTGTCAGGGAAAAGGTGGAAAGTGGTAAGGAACAAATGTTTCTACAAACAGCTTTTCAGATTGAAGTTATTGTAGAAAACATTTAGAAGTAAATAAATATAAAACAATGGGCATTATGGGCACACATCCACAGATATGTAATATCCACAATGACATATTGGATTTATGCATAGTCTTAGAATGAGCTCTGAGCTTACCTTACCTGGATAATTTTTAATATTCAAAATTTCTAATCAGTTTTAAATAGATTCCATATTTTTAATAAATGGAAGCACACTTACTTATCTTACTGTAACTGCTTTTCCCCTTCAAGATGTATTATTCCCATGGATTCCATCTCATGCATTCACAAGTGCTGCTCAAGAAATACTGCATTCTTTTGGCAAACACCATTGACTCCAGCCTGAGAGCATGCAGACACGCACAACCCTACTGCTGGCAGAGCAGGACCTATGGCTATTAAAACTTCACAGGAACAGAAGAATGACACAGGGATATGAGATTTATGTGGACAAAGCATCTTCAAGAGTCAATTTTACCAGAAAGTCACAGATTTCCTGGCTGACAAAGAAACAGTAAGATTCACCTGGTCCTTCACACCTGATGTGGATCTGCTTTGATCTCCAATTTCTCTAGGATCTGTGAGTCTTACAACCAATTTGAATTAAAGCCTAAAACTGCCACTTGCTGGAAAGCAATCTAACTGTAAACCAAAGCAGCAGTGAATGATGGCTGGTGAGAAAAAAGGACTGTACAAATCACGGTGCCCACTGCTGTCTTTACTAATGAAGACATGAGGTCTGCAGAGGTGGACACAAGGAAGGCTTTCAAGAAAGCCACATTTTGTTTGCATTTCTGTCTCTTCCTGTTCAGTTAGGCATCTGACTATGTGGCTGCTGTTCAGATGATGACCCTTACTACCCTTACAAAATCAAATGGTCTTCCAGAGGCAGTGCTGTCCTGAGGGAAAGGGATGAAGTCCCTTAGATCACATCACAGTCCCTGACAAGAAGTACTATAGCAAAAGCTCTACACCCAGAAGCCACATACTGAGGAGTTAACACTGAAGGGATTTAAGCGATATTACAGATACTTATTTCATTGCTGGTAGTAACAGATCAAGAGAGATACATTTTAATCTTCAGCTGCCATTCAAGTGCACAGTCTGAGCAGAATCTAGCATCATGATCTCTGTGTTTCATTTTCATAGGCTTTGTCAACTTTTGTCTCAGCTCTGAAGAATAATTCAGATGAACAGTAGTTGCAGTAGCTGATGCTTTTCAAAAAGCGACACCAAAGACCTGAAAGTTAAGCTGTAGCTCACAGGAGTACTTGAGGCTGGAGCCTAGTTAGATCTGAAGCTTTTCTCCCCTCTGAACTTGACTAGTTTCTCACTGAATGCTCAACGATAAACTGTTTAAGGCTATAAATCTCTTTCATTTTTGATTTCTTTTTAAAAAGTAATGACAAGTTTACCACCTGCAGGGAATATCTTCTTTCCTACTGTCTCTGTATGCATTCAGCATTTGATCTGCAGTAGAAAAAATGACATCACAATTTGCTTCAGCCATAAAAAAAAAAAATTCTAAAACACCTTGCTCCTTTCTAGAGTTGGTAGATACAAAAATAATTTAGTAATTAACAATAATATTACCACAAGATGTGGGAGAGGTAGACTAAAAAGGCACCATTTTTCAGCCACTGGCACTCCAAAAGAAATGAGGAACACTGGGTCTTTTATGCCTTCTTTGACACCAACTCAAGTAACCGCTCTAATTGATGTGTTTCTATTATGTTAAGATACAGGATGCACTGCAAACATTTCATATACACAGCAGGTAGTAGAAGTCAGAATGCGTGGGATAATATGAACTGTCCATTTTGTTATAATGAATAAGAGATTTTTTCCCCCCCACTTTTTATCTGTTTAATACTTTTATTTTTTTTAATTCAAGGAGAGACTGCTATGGTAACACCTTCAAATACAGACACAAATGGGGAATCTGCATAAAACCTGTATATACCAAAGCAGGCAATTTCTTTTGTATCTCTAAGTGGTTTTCATTCTAGTAAAACAGACAGAATTAATGTGCAGATCTGAAACAAGGCAGTCTATGCTGCAATTCTACAAACTACTGCACTTTCCTCCTCATCCCACTAAACTGTGTACCTAGGCCAGAGAAGGGAAGAAAACTATTTTTACTGTGTACATATGGTATGTTTTAAAAATACTACAAATGACACGCTGAGAGCAAAACCTGCATATACCAGTTGGTTATTGATTGATTGGGAGTCACTATTCTACTACAGTTATGAAAAAGGTAGTGCTATAATGCATTACACAGCTCTAAATTCAAGATGGACACTAAATCAGCTATACCAAGAAGGCATAAAATTCTGTTCAGAGAGTAAATCAAGTAAGAATTGGTATGGAGAAAAGCTATTTGGATAACTGGGGAGTGGAGAAACCACTTTGTAAGAAGTCCCCTAGAGACTTGTTCAGAAGTGGAAAGACAAGACTGCACCAATAAAAAACAGGTAGGAAAAGAATGACAACCTAGGTGTATAAGGTATGCACCTACAGGTCAGGAGCTGCCTGTCTCAGCTCATGCTCATTCACGGCAAGACTTAACATACTGACATGTGTCACTCAGTTTGTTGGCACAGACTATGCACAGAGAAGAGTCTTACATTCTAAGCCTATAGCAGGAAAGTAATAGGTAGCTGTTAACTAAATCTGACTGTGTGCTTCGTCCTTAAGTGGATTTGAATCTCACAGCCAGACACCACATCTCAGCTGAGAGGCAAGCACTAGCTGTCAAGCACGGGACTTCACATCCGCCCAACATCAAGCACATGCTTAGCTAGGCGATGACAGGCTCTGTCCACCTTTGTTTACTTTATGAATGTTCAGCTCCTGTCCAAGTGCACACTAGTGCAGTGTACACACATGTTCAAGGGACATCAGAAGGAAGTTTATGTTCAGTAGTACATTAAAGTCAGTAGTACATCAGTGGCATAATGATAAATATGCAAGGTGATCATGAACAATTTGCAGGGATTAAAATCAGAGTGTGGGATTCATTGGACAGAATGTTTTTTTAACATTAAATGGGGCAGTTAAAAATACTTTATAAAATATAGAACAGAAAATACGTATACAGTATTTCAGAATAAAAATTTAACATCTTTCTGAAATCCTGCTGGTCAGCTCTGAATATTACCCTCAACGCATGCTGGATCATCTCTTGGAGAAGCAGAGTTTGTGATTAAAGAACTTAAAAAGAATTCTGAAATATGATATGTATTGTACCCTTGCATCCTCACAACACAGAAAATTCAGCATAGAGCTCAAACTTTACTGGTATCACAGCAATTAGACCTGGTGTGAATTACTGTTATTTATACTAACTAAAGAATGAGAACTCTTTCATCCACATGACTAGGGATACAAACAGAAACGAACAAAAAAAAATCAAACCCATGAACTTTTTTTAAAAGAAAAAAAACATAATACTTGCCCAAGAAAACAGTCTGTGTCATTCATCCACTGGTTTATGAACTGTGCAGTGATGGGCTCAGGATTTTGTGGAAATCTGATGTTTTCTAAGGTGTGCAGAAGCAGGTCAGGATTGTAGTAGAGTGCAGCTATGGCAACCTGAAGACACATGGTACGAAGCTCACTTGTTTTAACTCCTCTAGTTAACCGCTCCAGAACAGCCTCCACAAAGAGTGGAATACACTGAGCATATAAAGGAAATAAAAAACCAAAACAAAAACAGGCATTATATATGTTGCCAGATTATACAAAAGTTTAAACTACTTTTATCAGAATTGATCTCCAGAGTTAACTGAAGTCCAAGTATAACCTAGGAATACATTCCATTCACTTCCTAGTATAAAAGTATCTTAAGCCTGCAATTACATGCTTATAAATCTTCCCAAAACAGCTATTCTCTGAGCTAAAAATTGCCAATGTTATTCTCAGCACAGAGGATAATATTTGGGGCCATTTGGTGGAATTCGTTCTAGCATGTATATAAAAAGTTTAGAAATGAACTCAAAGACATTCTCATCTTTGAATAAAAATGTTCAACAATTTCAAAAATAACAGGCATTAAAAATGAAATTACCTAAATCTGCAAGAAAAAGAAAATATGTTTTTCCTAATAAATGTAAAGTGATGTTAAATTCCTTATAAAAGTTTGAAATGAGTGAGTTTACTCAGATAAAAGCAAGTGTCCACAAATTTCTACACAATGAAGTAAACATCTATCTATATTTCAGTGGGCAGGTTTATGCTTTATAATAATTTGGGAAGCATTACTAACATTTTAGTTTATGAATTTCAGTTCAGTGCGCAACCATTTTAATTCACAGAGTTGTGGAGCTCAATTAAGCCTTCCATCACATAGTTATTTCAATGCAAATGCATACAATTAATTTTAATCCCTTCCAAATTTCTTTAAAAAATAAAATCTTTTAGGGAACATTTTATCTTCAATGGCTTCAGATTTACATTAGTAAAGTTCTATTGGTTTCAGTGAAATTAACTGAAGATTTATCACTTAAGTCCATGGATTGCACTGTGGCAATATCAAATATGATATGTTAAAGTAATTTAGGCTGGAGTGTTATGTAAAACACAAGACCAGAATTTAGCCCTTAATAGGAAAAAGACTACTATCTAATAGTGTATTCAAAGAAACTCTACAAAATTGTGATTATGTTTTTCCCAGCAAAAATGATCTAGCCACACTAAAAATTTTTCATTTCCCCATACACTGAATAATTCAAAATATCAAGATGGACCAAGTTCATATTGCTTGGAGAAACAACATCAGCTGTTGGGTATGTATAGTTAACTTCTCAGCCACAATAGTTTTAATAATGTGTATTTTCCATCAAAAGAGAAATCCTATTAAGAGAAAGCAAAAAAAGACAATCCTGTACATCATACTATATCCTTATCATTCAGTCTATATTAATTTTCAAATTATGCTCACTAATCTCTAATCTCAAAAAAAAACCCCAAAAGACAAATCCCACAACCTTACAAACTGTCCTGAGCTCATTTACTTCTTTCTGTATTTATCTCCATTCCTACAATTTAAATTTCCCTCAAATTCTCTAATTCCAACAGCCTTTCTCAGGAATCATATACATATCATTGGAAACCAGTAAAAGAGAAAACCTGTTTAATATCTATCACCTGGTCAATACCCCGTCCTTTGCATTGAAGAACAATTACTTCTAGGAGTTTGGCTGCATGGCACTCTGCATCTTCTCCTGCATCTCCTGTTAATACCTAATAACCAGAATGACATTTTAGTTTATTCGTATTAATTACTGACAACTTTGAAAGCAAATGCTCCTGTACCTGCACACACCAAAAACCCTCTATGTGACTTATATTCATTCTATATTTTGTGAGGAATGAAGAATCATAAAAAATCATCTCTACAGGACGTAAACAAGGATAAGTGGCCAAAAATTAATTTAAAAATTTAGAAGAAATTACTATAGTTCTTTATGAATGTTAGTATTCTTTATATGTCATTGCTTTCCCTTTTTTAAAGGAAATGTTACTTACAAGAATCATTGATGGTTTCCACATTCTGTTTCTGGTTTTAGACTTCAATTCTAATAGACACTGGCAGACTAACAGCCTGACAAAGTGAAGTTCTATCTCTAGGCTAGTTTCTAATTAAAAACAAGATGCATGCAATCACCACAGGTATATGCCCATACATGTGAAACTGACTGCTGCTTCTCAGTACTTTTCAATTCTACGGTCAGTGTCAATCAAATCTGACAAAGCAGCAGAATTCTCAGACACATTTAATTTCTATAACTTTCTTAAAAATAAGCAAGATGCCTAACACTCTATAATTCCCAAAATCAGAGAAAGGCTGCAGTGTGATCTCATAGTTTCTTATATGTGAGAGAATCAGTATAGAAGAGAAACATTATGAATGCAGGCAGAACTTTAAATGAGTTTGCACCTTAGCTGACAACTAAAGAATCTAATCGCAAGATACACAACCCAAGGAAATCAGGCTTCATTAATTCCTCTACTTACCAAAATAGCTGTTCATAGAAGAGAGTCAAGAAGAACAGCAACTTTCTCCCACACAGATTTGTGCATGTAATTTTTTTAAAAGCATGTCACTTAAAAAGTGTGAATGTGTTATGTGTACTTGGAACTGAGTTGAGACCAAATTTCATTTCGTTCTGAAATGACTGGCCACCACCTGGCATGTTCAGGTCACTCCACTAATCTGACTGCTGACTACCAGTGATAACTGCAACAATAAGAATCAGAAACCTTACCTTTTTACACATAGCATAAATGATTTCTAAATGCTTTGGGTTAGACAGCAAAGTATCTGTGTCAATGGTCACGTAATTATGTAAGAGAGGCATCATATCTGCAGAACAAGGAGAGCAAAAGAGAAAATTCCAAAGTAATCCATGCAAGTGCTAACCTGTGAGGCTGTAGTCCTATAATGGAATTCAGATTCTTGGGATATGGCTGGAAGTTTGAACTCTGCAAAACTCTACTCTACCAGAATTGCTCATAACGTGCACCATACAGGGTGCAGCTCTGAGTTGGTTTAAGCCCTGCCAGGACTGGAGAGCACATTGCTGTTGCCCTTCCCCCACCCGCAGCCGGTCGGGCTGGCAGTGAGGCACAAACCCTGGGCTAAAATAAGAAAAAAATGTAATACAACAGTGTGATAAACAATCTGAACAACAATAGTAGCAATGATAACAACAATAAACAGCAATAACAGTGAACAAGACAAACGATATACAGAGAAATAACGCAAAATGGTCACGGAACAAAGCCGACACGTGGGTACCGCCACCAAAAAGCCAAAAAGGGAAAGTAGAAAGGTTCAGCCCCTGGACCTGATGTCAGCATGGTATGAATAACCCGGCTGGAGATCCCTTCCCCCTCTCTCTCTGCTGGGGAAACCTAACCCTATCCTAGCTGAACCAGGACATAATCCACCCCTTTATTCTATACCATCTGCGTCATGTCCAGCTGCCATTTAGCAGTTAACAATAACAAAGTAATAATTTACACAGGCACAGCATAATTCACGGCATGTTCTCACCCAGAATCAAGTCCCCCAGTGGTACACATCGGACCTGTCCATTGTCCTGCATCACCCACCAGGTACCCCCAGGTCCTTGGGCAAAAACAATCCCATGGATGGGTTTGCCTTTACCTTCGCCTGGTGCAGGACTAACCCAGACCATTTTCCCCAATATATTCCTCATGCGCACCACAGGGACTTTATCCCCATCTACAGCACGTGGAGGTTTCGACTGAGCCAGGCCAGCTCGACTGGCAGATCCTCTTGTGTTGACTAGCCAGGTGGCCTTTGCTAGATGCATGTCCCAGTCTTTGAAGGTCCCACCTCCCAGTGCTTTCAATGTGGTTTTTAACAGTCCATTGTAGCGCTCGATCTTCCCAGAGGCTGGTGCCTGGTAGGGGATATGGTAGACCCACTCGATGCCGTGTTCTTCTGCCCAGGTATTTATGAGGTTGTTTCGGAAGTGGGTCCCGGTGTCTGATGCAGTTCTCTCTGGGGTGCCGTGTTGCCACAGGACTTGGGTTTCAAGGCCCAGGATGGTGTTCTGGGTGGTGGTGTGGGGTGCTGGCTAAGTTTCCAGCCATCCAGCAGTTACTTCCACCATTGTGAGCACGTGGCGCTTCCTGTGACGGGTCTGTGGCAGTGTGATGTAGTCGATCTGCCAGGCCTCTCCATATCTATATTTCAGCCATCACTCTCCATTTTGCTGGGGCGTCACCCGCTTGGCATATTTGATTGCAGCACACGTCTCACATCCGTGGATGATCTCTGCAATGGTGTTAATAGTAAGGTCCACCCCTCGATCTTGAGCCCACCCGTATGTTGCATCCCTACCTTGGTGGCCCGAGGTCTCTTCGGCCCACCGAGCTATGAAAAGTTCACCTTTGCGCTGCCAGTCCAAGTCCACCTGAGTCACTCTAATCTCAGCAGCTTGGTCTGCCTGCTGGTTGTGTCGATGCTCATCAGTGGCCTGACTCTTGGGTACACGGGCATCCACATGGCGCACCTTCTCAACGAGGTTTTCCACACGGGCTGCAATGTCCTGCCATACTTCAGCAGCACAGATGGTTTTACCCGTATGTTGCCAGTTGTTCTGCTTCCATTGCTGCAACCATTTCCACAGGGTGTTCGCCACTGCCCACGAGTCGGTGTAGAGGTAGAGCCTCAACCACTTTTCCCTCTCAGCAATATCCAAAGCAAGCTGAACGGCTTTCACCTCTGCAAATTGGCTCAATTCACTCTGTCCCTCAGCAGCTTCACTGACCCGTCATGTGGGACTCCATACAGCAGCCTTCCATTGTCGATGTTTTCCCACAATGCGACAAGACCCATCAGTGAACAGGGCATATCGCTTCTCCTCATCCGGCAGCTCGTTATATGGTGGGGCCTCCTTAGCACGTGTCACCTCCTGTTATGGTGACATCCCGGAATCTTTGCTCTCTGACCAGTTCGTAATCACCTCTAGTATCCCTGGGCGGCTGGGGTTCCCTATTTGAGCCCGTTGTGTTATCAATGCAACCCATTTACTCCACGTGGCATCAGTTGCATGGTGTGTGGAGGAGGCCTTTCCTTTGAACATCCACCCCAGCACCGGCAGTCGGGGTGCCAGGAGGAGCTGTGTTTCAGTGCCGACCACTTCTGAGGCAGCCCGAACTCCTTCGTACGCTGCCAGTATCTCCTTCTCAGTTGGTGTATAATTCGCTTCAGAGCCTTTGTATCCCCGGCTCCAAAAGCCCAGAGGTCGGCCTCGGGTCTCCCCAGGTGCTCTCTGCCAGAGGCTCCAGGTAGGGCCATTCTCCCCAGCTGCGGTGTAGAGCATGTTCTTAACCTCCTGCCCTTCCCGGACTGGCCCGAGGGCTACTGCTTGGGCAATCTCCCGTTTAATCTGTTCAAAGGATTGTTGTTGCTCAGGGCCCCATTCAAAATCGTTCTTCTTACAGGTTGCGTGGTAGAGAGGGCTCACAATCAGGCTGTAGTTCGGGATGTGCATCCTCCAGAACCCCACAGCGCCCAGGAAAGACTGAGTCTCCTTTTTAGAGGTTGGTGGGGCCATGGCTGTTATCTTGTTTATCACCTCCATTGGGATGTGGCGACGCCCATCTTGCCATTTTATTCCTAGGAATTGAATTTCCCTTGCAGGCCCCTTAACTTTCTTTTGCTTAATGGCAAAGCCGGCCTTCAGGAGGATTTCAATTATCTTATTCCCTTTCTCAAAGACTTCCTTGGCTGTGTCTCCCCATACAATGATGTCATCAATGTACTGCAGGTGTTCTGGAGCCCCACCTCTCTCCAGTGCAGTATGGACCAGTCCATGGCAAATGGTGGAGCTGTGGTTCCACCCCTGGGGCAATCAATTCCAGGTGTACTGGATGCCTCTCCAAGCGAACGCAAACTGTGGCCTGCACTCTGGCGCTATCGGAATGGAGAAGAACGCGTTAGCAATGTCAGTCGTGACATACCACTTGGTTGCCTTCGACTCCAGTTCATACTGGAGCTCCAGCATGTCTGGCACTGCAGCACTCATTGCTGGGGTAACTTCATTCAGGCCGCGGTAGTCCACAGTCAGCCTCCATTCGCCATTAGGCTTTCTTACTGGCCATACAGGGCTGTTGAAGGGTGAGTGAGTTTTGCTGATCACCTTCTGGCTTTCTAGTTGACGGATCAGCTGATGGATGGGGACCAGGGAATCTCGTCAGTGCGGTACTGCCGCCGGTGCACCGTCCTGGTAGCAATTAGCACTCGCTGCTCCTCAACCTTAAGCCGCCCCACCACTGAGGGATCCTCTGAGAGGCCAGGTAAGGTGGACAACTGTTCAATCCCCTCCAGGGCAGCTACACCAAAAGCCCACCGGTACCCTTTTGGGTCTCTGAAGTACCCTCTCCCGAGACAGTCTATGCCCAGGATGCACGGGGCATCTGGGCCAATCACAATGGGGTGCTTATGCCAGTCCTTCCCAGTCAGGCTCACTTCAGCTTCCAGTAGGGTCAGCTGTTGGGATCCCCCTGTCACTCCGGAGATGCAGATGGATTCAACCCCACTGTAGCTCGATGGCATCAGGGTGCACTGTGCACCAGTGTCCACCAGAGCCTTATACTCTTGTGGGTCTGACGTGCCAGGCCATCGGATCCACACTGTCCAGTAAATCCGATTATCCCTTTCCTCCACCTGGCTGGAGGCAGGGCCCCTCTAATCCTGCTCATCATCACTCACTTGTGAGAATGATTTACTGGTCCCCTCAAGAGGGTCAGACATAATGTTCACCATTCTATTTTGTCTGGGGAATTTCTGACTGGACACTGGAGCTGTACTTTTCTTGGAGGACTCCCCTTTTGTGATGGTCTTCTCTTTCAGTTGCTCTACTCGTGCAGCTAGGGCAGCAGTGGGCTGTCCATCCCACCTCCTCATGTTCACTCCATGGTTGCAGAGGAAAAACCACAGGGTGCCTCGTGGTGTGTACCTTCTGCTGCCTTTCTCTTGGGTAGGGAAACGTTTACTTCTAATGGCTGAGACATCAGCCCGTGCAGGTGGAATGTAGGACATGTCCTCTTCCATTTTTTGGACCCTCTGAGACAATTCCTCCACAGCTGAGACCAGGGAATATTGAGATTAAGGGAGATTTCCCTCATATTGCCGGAGCTTGCCAACCACTCCATCCACTGTTAGAGTTTGGGTGTCTGTCCACCAGGACACTATTGCCAGTGCTTTCGAGTGTGCTTCTGGTGCATTCTTCAGGAACTTTCACCACATCAGGTGTGTGCAAGGGGCCTGATCTGGGTCCATGGGTGACTGCTCATTATTCAGATCACCATAGAACATCTCAAACACAGCCAGTTCCCTGAGGTTCTGGATGCCTTTCTCAATGTTGGTCCATTTGCTCAGCTGACATAGGATATCATCCTTATAGGGGTGCCTCTCCCTTACACTGAGCAGGAGTCGCTTCCAAAGGCTGAGGGTTTGAGTCTGTTTCCCTATTTCCCTATCAATGCCAGCATCCTTGGCCAAAGATCCCAGCTGCTTGGCCTCTCTCCCCTCCATCTCAAAAGCACTGACTCCATTGTCCCAGCATCGGAGCAGCCAGGTGCAAATCTGCTCGCCTCTCAGGCGGCCAAAATCTCTCCATATATCTTGCAGCTCAGTCGGGGATAGAGATCGGACGATCACCACTGGCCCTTCCTCCTGTTCCTGTGATGGGCCTGGCTCTTCCCCATCCCTCACTCTGCGAATTGACTTTCTGGTATATTTTGTTTTCTGTATCGGGGCGACTGATACCGGCACTGGCTGGCTCTCTGGCTCAGTCGCTGTGCTGGTGGAGGCGACTGAGACTGGCTCAGTATCTGGACCGGGAGGACAGGCAGTTTCAGTGAGTTCACTCTCAGATCCTGCAGCCCTTTCTTCCCCTTGAGGGCAGTGGGTGGTATTAAAGAGGACACAGAGGCATGGCCAAGTCCCCAACACATTGCAGTGATTTGTGTCTCCTGGGTTTTGCCAGTTTGGTAACACACTCTTTCTAAGCACTCCATCACCTTCTCAGGGCTCTGCATTTGTTCAGGAGTGAAATTCCAGAGCATTGGAGGTGCCCACCAACTCAGGCCTTTGCCCATCTTTTCCCACACCCCTTGCCACTCACTCTTATCTGACCTCGGGGCAGGTTTCCGGGCACTGCTGTTGTTAGTAAAATGCCACATGGCCAAAACCGAAATCAGGCAGACATTCAGAAGGCACTCTGCCGCAAACACACTGGCCTGCAGGCTCCAAGGATAACTGAAACTCCCCAAAGCCGAGAGGCTCTCTTCCCCTGGCTCACCCATAGAGGGGGTGAGACCCCTAACAAAAGCCCAAACAGCAAACAGGTACCGGCCCACCCCCACCCCCAGCGATACAAAGGCAGCATAAGCATTCAGTAGCCCATATAACAACATAAGACACTTTATATATTTTCCACCGATAACAAACGCCACCACAGGGATCATACACTGGATATAAGGATTAATCCAGCCCCATCACACAAGCAAGTGGGCCAGCATTGCAAACATTTTCTTATCAAACAAATACAAACAGAAAAATTACACCAAACAGATTGCTCTATCACACTCTGGTCAGGGTCTGTCCCTTTTTATTCTTACTTTGAGCCCCACGTCGGGCGCCAATTAAGGCTGTGCTGGTTTAGGCCCTGCCGGGAACGGAGAGCACGTTGCTGTTGCCCCTCCCCCACCCACACCTGGTTGGGCTGGCAGTGAGGCACAAACCCCGGTCTAAAATAAGAAAAAAAATTAATACAACAGTGTGATAAACAATCTGAACAACAACAGTAGCAATGATAACAACAATAAACAGCAATAACAGTGAACAAGACAAACGATATACAGAGAAATATCGTAAAATGGTCACGGAACAAAGCCAACACGTGGGTACCGCCACCAAAAAGGGAAAGTAAAAAGGTTCCGCCCCTGGACCTGACGTCAGCATGGTATGAATAACCCGGCTGGAGATCACTTCCCCCTCTCTCTCTGCTGGGGAAACCTAACCCTATCCTAGTTGAACCAGGACAAGCTCCAGAAGAGAAAACAGAATAGGGTTACATTTTAATTAATTAATTTGTGGTTTCACATTAACTTAGTTTATTTCAGCTTTCTTTGACCTCCTACAATAACTGATCTTACTGACAGATTTAAACATGCTTCTCCTACTTAAATACACTCCTGTTATACTCCCACACTAAACAGACAGTCAGGGCATGACTCAAACACATGATCATTTTAAACCAAGACATTAAAGGAAAACGACCCTTATTAAAGCAGGTTTAAGAGGTGAATTTCCAAACAGTGAAAGCATCAATAGAATAGAAGTGATCATACCTGCAAAGTACTCAAAGCAATCCTGCTGGAAAACCTCATATAGAACACCTAAAAGCTGCCACATTTGAGGTGAAATCATCTGGCATGTCAAGCTGTAGGCCAAGGAAAGAATTTCTTCATAAAATTCTGGAAAGGAGAAACAATTTGAAGTAGGGTACTTTAAAGAGTAATTTTAGCTTGCAAATACCTTGAAATCTGAAACCAAGCCCCGAGTCATATAATAAGACAGCAATGAGTAACTAAATCAATACACAGAAAAATAATACAAATTGGAAAGGAATCTTTTAGATGGGCCTTATGCTGGCTATAGTTACAATAATATGCATAGTTTTTCATTATAAATACACACCAGAAAAATATATTACCAGCACATCAAAGAACTTGCTTCTAAATGATATACTGAAATATTTTTTTTCCCCTCAACCTTTGTTTTTTGTTAAAGGCCTTAGCATAAAACTATGTAGCTCTTTAGTGCAGTGTACTGATAAAGCAGTAATTTAATTTGCAGACCATGTCCATAAAATCCTGATTTAGTTGCAAACGCCATCCTTTAACATAGCTAGCTAGAACTAAAATCAGAACTGTATCTTCTGCTTTTGAGTCTGACCTCCAAAATACAATAACCAGTGTGACAGGTATATAAGAGGAGATCAGGAGAAACAAATCATCACTGAAAATTAACATATTTTTTCTTTAAAGAAGCACACACAAAAAAGATTAAGTTCTGTTCAGGAAGACAGTATTGTCTGCAGTAATTAATTAATGAATTTGCTATGTAAAAATATGCAATGTTTTTCTAAAAATTATCTCTAAAACCTACCTATAACATGTTTCTGCAAAACGAGGCCAATAATCTGTAAACAAATGCTCTCGAGCTGTTGAGTTATCTGAAACAAAAACATAAAGCAATTTATTTTAAAACTTAGAAATACAGTAATTTCATCAATGTATTTGACTAATTCAGTTTGAGAAGTCCTTCAAAGCAAAAAGGCTTTTATCACTTTTAAGTGATGCACTAACAATCACAATATTATGAAACAAGGTCTCACTGACATAAGTACTCAAATTTTCAATAAACAGTATTGCTTTAAAACTTGTCACTTACAGGATTTTTATTCTTTTAAAAAAAACTTATTTTATGATTATTCTACAGATCCTGTCAAAAGCTGTATCTGTTGTCCTGTCTGGATATAAAGTGACACTCACTCAACGCATTTGAGATAAAGCCTCTGTCCAAAAACTTAGAAGTAGAATGGGTTAAAAGGAAGAAAGGAAGAGATGTTTTTGCCTGAGGTCCGTGGAAAGCTTCCTAGGGTAGGCTCAGCAAAAGAAACACATGCAGAAATTGGAAGCATACAACTGTGTAGAAGTCAGGACTCAGCCTTGCCATGCTGGACAGAGACTACATTTAGAAATTAAATTAAATTACAAGGAGAACTGTATGGCCACATTATAAGTCTAATTAAAACCAGCAAACAGACATTTCATGTTATTATTACAGGTCATTCATTACAGACATAATCTTGCAGAATGCCAGGCTTTCTGGGCTTGTTCCTGCAAAGGAATTAAGTATGTGACCACAGATTCATCCACTTACCTTCAGACACTTGACTCAAAAGTTATATCCCCTAAACTCTCTCCATACTTAACAGTGAAAAAGAAATTAATTTCTAAGGAATTTTCAGTTTCACATATCATTTGTATATCATTTATAAAACTTCTAAAATGATTTAAGATCCTGAGATGAAGAGCACTCTGCACAATATTTTAGTTTGTGCTTCACAGAACAGAAAAAGAAGCTGATAAGTTTATACCAAAAATAATCCAACCCCAAAGGTTTTCCTAGGCTAAAACCTGAAGAACCACTTCAGATTATCATTCCTGAAGCTCAGCTTAGCTTCCAGTTTTCATTTTAGCTTTCAAAAGATGCAAGGGGTTCTTGTAAAGGAATGGAAGATGGTTTAAAATTTGAAGGAACCCAATGGTCTTACAAGAAAAAAATTACTATTTTAAATATTGTATTTTTAAAATTATAAGCTTCACAAAAATATTTCACACTCACAATGAAACATTGTAAGTCAAGGAAGCAAAACAATCTAAGACAAAGCACTTTTATGCCAACTGATCTTAAAACTACTGACTTTGCCTCTCTGGTCAGTCACTGAACTCCTTCCTACCTCAGATAGCCCAGGTAGTATGAGCAGAAAGAATCTTTCTTTGTGAATATGTGAAATGTAGACTTACACCACACCACAACTGGGAGACCAATTCCTAAGAATTCTATCCAAGAAATTTCTGGGTAAACAACAACATATAAATCTCCACTGTAAAAAAATAGCCTTACGCAAAATATTTATTCCTAAGATCTCTTTTAGAAGTCTGTAATACAATTATCCCAGAATAAGGGCTAAGGATTTCACCCTTAGGATATAAATTCCCCTCAGATTTGAGAGCTAAACAATTAAGAAATCACAAAAGTAAACCGGGCTTTAAATACAAATTTGTCAGAGATCACTTGGTACTAACTCACCATCTTGCTACAGTAAATATATATTCATGTCAACTCAAGTTATGCAATATACATAGAAGTGCTTGTTGACATGAATGGAAGGCATGAGGGAACTGCACGAGAAAAGACGTATAAAAGAAAATCTCACCTCCTTGTGATCTTCCACAACTGTCAGGATCGTGTCAATTGTGTGCAAGATGCCCATGGCCATAACTGTTTTGTCCTCTACTTCCTCATATTCCTCACTCTGAAGTACTTTACCAAATATTTCAGCCTAGGAAAAAAAACAATCAACTTGATAAGAGCACTCAGATTTCTAATTTGTCATGCAAAACCAAGATACCTAATGCAACAGCAGCAATGCCTTATCTGTAAGAGCTGTCAGTGTTGAAAAATATGCTCCTCACTTTTGAAAGGGGAATACATAAAATTAAAAACTCTGCTTTTTTTGAGAAGTCTGGCTATGTTAAATCACTTGAAATGTTAAATAGTTAGAGCTTGTCTCATTAAAACCAGTGACAAAATTCAGTCTCTTGAAAAACCTATAGATTTTAAAGACACTTCATACAGAAAAAAAAAAAAATGTGAATACCATAGGTGCACCTTTATAAAGATTACTTTAAACAGTGTGCAAGTCAAACAAGTCCATTAGTTTACCAAATTAGGCATGTGCCTCTGACTGGACTGTTGTTTCTTACCAGGTGTTGAGTCATGTCAACGGCGATAGTAGCTACTTCTTGACTGTACTCGCAGATCATCTTCTGGATTACATTAGTAAGATCATCATTTTCCGTCTCTCTAACAATGTGCAAGAGCTCTTGCATAACTGGCCTTACATAAGGCTTCACATATTCCTTGGCTAAAAAACAATTGAAACTAGGTGAAATCAACTATCCATAAACACAAATATACAGTAGCTCAAAACTACTAGGTAACTGTCTTGAACAAAATAAGTTTAATTCACTAGTAAAAAAATTTAAAAACCCTACCTAAGGCAGTTTTACAGACCACAACTAGCAGACTAACAAAATAAATGGTACATTTACCACATTCAATACCGAAATGCCATCTACAACAAAAATCCGCTGTTTTGGGGAATACATGCCCTCATATCTAGGCAGCGTTCATTCTTAAACATACACACTCTTTCATTTCACTGAAGAAAAACAAAGACAGGTGCTATTCACTTTATTAAAACAAATATATTGATTCTAACTTCTTTTGTGCAGAGACTTGCTGTAAAAATTTGTAGTCAGAATTCTGGGATGTATACAGTAACTCATGAGCAAGGGAAACTGTCTAAATACGATGAAACATTCTGAAATCTATGTCTTTAAATAACAGAAATCTTTAGATAAATCTGCACCAACCTCCTCATCTCTAAAAAAAATAAAATTAAATCAGTGTATACAACTGATGAATCACTGTAGTATACCTTGCTCTTGGTTGCTTATTAACGTCTGAAGAGCTATGGCTGCTTCTACTTTGACAGGCATTTCCTTATCATCAATCAGGCTCTTCTTTGCCAACTCTACTGCATTCCTCAAGTTTAGCTCATTGTGAAATTTCAAAGCGCTGAATGAATGAAGTACCCAACAGGACTGCATGACAAAAAGAAATGTAAGCTAGAGACTACTGCAATTTTTAGCCCTACTTAACTGATTCAAAACCAATGTGAACTCTGTTTGCATGTATTGCTTTTTTTTTTTCTTAATTATGGTGCATGCATACAGTAAATATAACACAAATTTTGCACTCAAGCAGTTCTTTAACTTCCTCTCCCAAATTCCAATAAATTCAGTATGCATATAATTGGCATTCATAGTTTTGGTCCTTCTGGAGGGAAAAGTCAGAACAGAAATTAAAGAAAACTGTTTATGACTGACATGGAAACTCAGTAATTTTCTTCAAACTACACTCAAATTGACATTGTCTACTGTGTGGACATCCTACTTATATTTCACAGCCATCCAACCACTCTAGTTATTGAGATCTGCTAATGAAAAATGGTCACAAAAGGGCCACAACTACTGCTCAAATTCTCAAGTCTGATTGATGAGGTAAACAATAATATGACATAGACTTTACATCAATGAATTGAACTGACAAATCATTTTTTAAATCAAAATGCTGAAAAATTACTGTACAAGATTGTTACTTGAAATTTTACTACATATTTGTTTTATTTCTTTCATTAACATTCAGAATGAAGTCAAACTGCAAAGGAAAGAATCATGGAAAATACCAAAATTGATATAAATGGTGAACTTACTCTAGCTCTGAGGTACCCCAGGTTAGACATGAACAATGGAAACACATGATTCTGTAACATCAGCTCCATTTGATCCTTGAAGACACTCTTCTGTTGGTGTAAACACATCTTGATTTTGGAGACCATTTATTTTACATACTTCATTCTAGCCAGTAATCCATGTAAACTATGAACCATGGGAAATACAATGTTTTGTCTAGGTAATAAAAGTATTCTCTCATGAAGAGATCTGGATCTCTTACCTTGAACTGAACAAAACTCATAAGCATAGCAACTTCAAAGCCAGGTAAGTGAAAGAACTGTACATATAATATTCAATTCTACGTTACTCATTACAGTACTGTAAACTGAAATTTTCATTTTCTGTAAGGCAATTGATTCCAGCTGATTTTTCTTAAAAAGTAATTAGGATCAATAACCTAGTACCTCCATTCTTCCTACAAAGGAGTACATGCATACCTGAAGTTAAACATAAGCTTAGTATGAAAAAGATCTGAGTTTCAAATTACCTGTTGTTACTATAAGCATCAAAACTAATTATTTTACACAGTACAACAGTAACTGACATCTTTTTTCATGTTTATTAAAGAATTAAGTAATTCCTTTGTGACAGAAATATCCTTGGCTGGAGAAGGATATTCAATGAAAATTATCCTTCCTTATTCCAACCTTGGCAAATCCCATTTTGTAATCCACAAAAATTCTGCAAAAGTTACTGACTTTTCAGCATTTCAGATCAGATCATGCATTGATACATTGGTAAAAAATAGATGGCAAATGTTGGTAAGATGTTGCTTGTAACATGTAGACAACTCCTGCACAGACAAGACAACTCACATAAATTACTTTTAAAAGGAAGCCTCCAGCACAAGGCTGCCATTCTCATGCTAAAAGTGGTAACTTTTTGGCAGTTACTTTTGACATGGAGAGAGGGCATACTTTGGACTCCGCTGTCTATGAAAGCATATGGAAAACTGCAATCAATATCATGTTAGAGAGCAACAGTATGGATTAAATGTGTATTCGAATTCCAGACAAATACACAAAATTCTGAAGATACTGTCTATTAAAAAATGGAGGAGGGATAGAAACTGTGTTTTTAAGTTATTTTCAAAACTCCCAACTGGCTGATGAAGTAAGACTTAAAGCCACATATTGCAGGGTAAGAAAGCTGGAAAGCTAGACAAAACATTCCTGCAACATGTTAAGTAAACATTTTTCTGGAACCAGAAGCAGCCCACAATAGCGTAGACTGTTGAGGGGTTTGCTAAAAAATCATAGGCAATGTTACTGATGTTTGCTTTTTTAACACCCTTCCATTTTACTAGTAAAGCAGGAGAGGACCAAGGGACTCTTCTGTAGCAAACAAACAGAGCTTTGAAGAAACTTGAGAAGAAAAATCTGGTTATAAAATGGGATTATAAAAACTAGGAAAGAATGTTAATATTTTTAAAGAAACAAACCCTCAGATTCTTACTGCACAGTGCAATCTCTCTGGACTTTATAAATATGGCTAAGAGCTAGCCATACTTTAAAAAGCTAAGAGTTTTTTATTGGAAATGGCAGTTGATAATAAGAATTACAAACATTTTTCACTTCTTTACCCACTTACCTTCAGTAAAATATCTGCTAGGGATCCTATAACATGCAAAGCTCCATCTTTCTTCCTTGGATCAATGTTTGGCTCTGTCAGAATCTGGTAGCAATATGCCATCATTTTTGGTAATACCTATGCAAGACAGAAAACACAATCTCCTTTAGTCAAATTATTTTAACAGTATCATTTAAGTTAAAAAAATCATGACATTTTAAAGTAGAAATTTTATCTTGCCCAAAGCAACTGTGAGGTACTATGTGTAGCATCTTTCCATGGTTAAAATTTAGAAGGTTCCTTTTCTAACTTTTCAGCCAAACTTATCAAAATTAAATTAATCTCCTTGAAATTTCTCATTAGTAATAGTATAAGGTATTTTTGTTATCTTGAGGCAAACCAAAAAAGGTGATGAAAAGGCAAGTGGCTCAAACAGTACTTCACCCATTTTTTTCCCTTAACTTCCATGGCTTGTCTCACACATGTATAAATACATATGTGTGTGTACACATATATATGAAGATATACGTATTCAAGAACATGTTGGACTAAAACCTCATAAACTTATTTTAATCTATTGATTCTGACAATAACTTCAAAAGTTAACTAGACTTAGGAAAGTTTCTTGGCAAAACCAAAATGTTTAATGTCATTTCTACACCCATCATGTGTTTATGAGATATTATGACATTTTGACAGCCTCAGTAGAAATTATGAAAATTAGAAGGTCAGTGGGCAAGGACTGTTTTGATAATAAAGAAGTAGAAAGGTCAGAAGCTACTCCACCCGACATAAAGACTATGCACTTCTCTGTAAATCTATCTGGAAATGGAGATCCATATTTACTGTTTGTTAAAATGGTACCCAGAAAAGAGTTTGCAATTTTAGCAAACTGATACATGCTTTCCAGGGCTTGGCCGGGTATGTTTGCACGAATCACTGTAAGTATAGAAAGATCTACAGAAAAGTTATGTCCTCATTTAAAGAGTAGCTGTATGAAATTGGTTTCATTCTTGATAATTTCCCTGTTGCCAACAGAATAAGGCCAAATGCCGGGGGCTGCCCTTGGGCCACAACAACCCCCAGCAGCGCTACAGGCTTGGGGAGGAGTGGCTGGAGAGCTGCCAGTCAGAGAGGGACCTGGGGTGTTGATTGACAGCCGGCTGAACAGGAGCCAGCAGTGTGCCCAGGTGGCCAAGAAGGCCAATGGCATCCTGGCTTGTGTCAGCAATAGCGTGGCCAGCAGGGACAGGGAACGGATCTGACCCCGTACTCGGCACTGGTGAGGCCGCCCCTCGATTCCTGTGTTCAGTTTTGGGCCCCTCACTACAAAAAGGACATTGAATGACTTGAGCATGTCCAGAGAAGGGCAACGGAGCTGGTGCAGGGTCTGGAGCACAGGTCGTACAGGGAGCGGCTGAGGGAACTGGGGGTGTTTAGTCTGGAGGAGGCTGAGGGGAGACCTCATCGCCCTCTACAGCTACCTGAAAAGAGGTTGCAGGGAGCTGAGGACGAGTCTCTTTAACCAAGTAACAAGTGATAGGACAAGAGGTAATGACCTCAAGTTGAGCCAGGGAAGGTTTAGGAAGCATTTCTTTCCAGAAGGGGTTGTTGGGTGTTGGAATGGGCTGCCCAGGGAGGTGGTGGAGTCCCCATGCCGGGAGGTGTTCAAGAGTCGGGTTGACATAGTGCTGAGGGATCTGGTGTAGTTGGGAACTGTCAATGTTAGGTTAATGGTTGGACTGGATGATCTTCAAGGTCTTTTCCAACCTAGACAATTCTGTGATTCTATGAATTTTACATAGCATCAGTAAAAATTAATAAGGATCAGGTTCACTCTTTCCCCTGCTACAATTTGGGAAGCTCAGAACAGCTGTGACAGAAGCCGTCTGCAAACATGGGAAAATACCAGTACATCTATTCCAACTCAGTTCATATCTGACAGGTTCATTTTAAAGCTGCAAGATTAGGCCACCTATTTATTTATTTATGCATACACACATATTTTAATTCTCCCCAAATTGACGGCACTCAGTCAGGAAAGCATTTGGCTATTTATTAGGAAGTATATTTCTCAAGACTAGCTTCCTGTAGCGTCTTCAGTTTTAAGAGAAAATGACATTATTAAGGAAACTTCAAATAATTAAATACCACTAGTTCCATACCTCTTTTCTCTTCTTTGCAGCAGTATAAAGGAGATTCTGTGCTGCTGTTGTGGTGGATGCATAATCCTCAAACACATCTAACAAATTTTTTAAAAAAAAGGAAAAAAAAAATTCCTCATCTGAATGACATAATAATAACAACATTTTTATAAACCGTCTTGTTTGTGGGATATAACAAAATCAGGGTGAATGTGTAACTTCAAAACTATTGACACAGTTTTCACGTCATGCTTGAAGAGTCAGACCCAAGCATATGTCACATAGTTTATAAAAGCATTTACTTCTTGCCTTCCAAATTTACTGACCACTCATCATTCCCTTTATTAGGAATGCATTATTTATTCATTAATTCTTTTGAGACCATATATTTAAGGGATGAATAATCTTGGCTTTATTTTCATTAAAACCACTATATGAAGAACAACAATACATTCCAGTACCATCTGTATACCATATGTACACATTTTTGGCTTGATTTTATTAAAACCTCATGGGAAACTTTTTGTATGTAAAATCTACTTGGATCTGGGGTAGTTTTAAATCTGTTGAAAGTTGAAGCTTTTTAGGTTCATTCCTTACAAGTAAACCTCCTTTAATCACATTGAAAATATAATTTATATCAGGAAAAAAAAATCTGTGCCGCCAAACATGTTCTAATCCAAACATTGCTACACAAATTGAATTAAATAAAAACATCTAAAAAGGAAACCTTAAAATGTGGTCAAAATTACACACTAACTTGAGAACTTAAAGATAAAACATGATTAAGAAATACTACCAGACTACTGGAATTCTTGTTCCAAACCCAAATGGGGCTCACTAAATTTCAATTTAACGTACTTTCATGCTTCTTTTTTAACCTTCCACGATATAATTTAAATCTGTATTTAACTGTCTCAGCTACATATAAAAAGAGGATTCACTACTTACACAGAAAGAACTGTATTCATATACCAAAAATCACTGGGGTGCAATACGTTGCTGACCAACACTATATCATGATAGGTGTTCTGCATAACAACTCTCCAAGTTTTTTTAATTCTTATATGAGCATTTAAATCCTGTTTTCAAATATGTTAATCTTAAATCAACTTATTAAAAATTCCCAAATGCTAAATATATCTGTGGTGCCTGTCTTACAGGAGTTTTCCAACTAAAATCACTGTATTTTGAAAGTAGCCCTCTCTTTTTCAATTACTTGAAAATTTTAATAAAAGCAATTATTCATAATATGGTCCTATGTGATATGCCAAGATTTTGTACTGCCTCTTTTGAAATAATACATATATTTAATAATCTTACAATTTAGCAATAATATTTGCCAAAAAAAATGCTGAAGACATTTAACAATTTTCAATAGGGAAAGAGCAAGTCAGGCCTCTTCTGGTCAAAGTGAGAGCTGCAAGAACTTTCAGACAGCTAGCACATCTGCAATTCAGAATTCTGAAAATGGCATTAAAAAGCAAGCAAGACAGCCTATTTGGGCTGCACTGAGCACATGTGAAGTAGAAAGAAAAACATTAAGAGAATCATTTAGTTTAAAGATACCAGCCAAATAGCCAAAACTCACTTGATCTGCCTTCTTTTTTTAACTACAGATTAGTGAGATTTAAGAAACAAATTTTCTTCTTCGTATTGTATAGGACACTGCTGAAGAGAGAGACATTACTGTCACCATGCTGTTAATTGGGACTATAGTGTACAGTTATGATGAAAACAAAACGTAAATGCTAAACACAAACATTTACCAAATTTCATGCGGATATATTCATATGGATCCTCTTGCCAGAGCTCTTCATCCTCATCTTTGTAGCACATCAGAGAGAATATCACTTCCTCTGTTATACTCTAATATTAGAGAAGTCAAATACATATAAGTACACATAAAATCAAATTCCAGTACAGCTTCCCTCTACTATGCACTAATTTACTAAACCTACTGTTCTGAAGAGTAAGATTATTTTAATCAGTCCTCTTTTATTTTGGCTAACAGATACAAATGTACAATATACATACTTTCCTTTTCCAAGTCCCAGACAGTAGTAAGTATATAATCTGTCTTTAGAATAATACAGTATCACACACAAAAAATACTTCAGGACATAGTCTATAAACAGCAGAATATTGCATTCTGCAGAAGGATCTCATCAGTGCAATATTTAACAAGAGAATGGATTCAGAGTCCTTCCTCTTAACAGTCATGGAATTAACTAACCACCAACAGGGGAGCTTACGATATGAAAAAATAAAAGCATGAAAATAATTTTTCATTTGTTCTTAGTTCACTTCTAAAACATGTCCTTAGAAGAGAGTTCTGTCCCTCATAGTTCATGTTCTCTTTGCCCCCTATTTTTAAACTACAATCAATTATGAATTTCCAAATCTATACACAATTCTGAATACTAGCAACTAATAAAAGCCAGAACACCATGACTGTGTGGCGAACTTCAAAATTAATAATAATAAAGGACTTATGGAACATAATCTTTAATTGAGTTAACAATATGTGCAATAAAAGGTAGTCATAATACTGAAAACCCCACCACATTCATGTAGAAATGCTATCTTTTTCCCTGATCAATTGTGGCATGAAATATTTCTGAAATCTTTAAAACTGCAAAACTGGTGGGGTTTTGGGAGGTTTTTAATGACTCTGATGACATGCAGTGTTTATGACTGGGTTTTATGCACTGACCTGTATGTGTGGCTTCATTTGCTTCCACGTTACAGAGTGAATAACCCCTTGGTTCAAATAATTTAATGTTTGCTGAAGAACACGTGGTGCAACATAGTCTTTTTGCCTGTATTGGTCTAAGATTCTTAAAAGAACCTAAAGAAATGACAAAATTATATTTTTAAATGAAGACTGAAATTCTCTCTCATGCATAGACATGCAGTGCACTTCATCAGTGAATATACATGGACAGATTAAATAGTTTTACAGCAGAGGTTCTAGTGTTAGTAATCACTGTAATGCCTTTCATCCAAAAATCAGAAACCATTTAAATATTAAGGATGTAATGCTGCAAGCATTTATGTACATGTCTACTTTACAACTAGCTCCACCATGTGATCACTTGTGATTGCAAACCAAAGATATACTTCAATATTCACAGGCTCACAGTTAACACAGGCCTCAGCAAAATTTAGAATAGATAAGGAAAAGTCACAGTGAGATTTTCAAATTGGTCGGCTTCTAAATCTGTTAGTGGTGTCTGTGTTCATTTTTTTAAGGACAGGCCCCTAAAGACATTACTTAGGAAGAACAGTGATAAGAATAGAAATACTAAACTAGAAAAGAAAAATAGGTTAGCACCTAAATCTGTGAATCAGAATAGATGCAAAACCCTTAACTTCAATTTCCTGTTGCATCCATCAGATAGTATCACCTAGCATGCTATCACACAAATCTTCCTTAATATAAAGGCTTGCTCTACTAAGAAAAACCTACAGTATAGAGCCACTAATCTGCACTAATGGCAGATGAACTATATAGTGTTAATAAGTGTAAAGAATTGGCATGTACATGAATAACAATAAAAATCAATGGCAATGCATAACAAAATATAGTCATAAATTTTCAGAAGGACAATTCTGCTTCATAATTCTTCAGAACATTATAATAAATCTTATTTTGAATGTAAGTCCTTCATTAGGAATACTGTATCTGATCTTAAGTCTTTTATATGATACTCTCCTTGGGCAAGAATTGTCTATATCTCATATAGACTCTAGCACGATGTCAGTACTTAATAACTGATGAATAAATAATGAAGGTTTAGTAACGAAATAGTCACAATCAAATTCTTACTAACTCTGCAAGAAAACACAACAAACCAGCATTTAAGAGCCAGAAAGAGAAGAAGTGTGCAGATTGTCCAGTCCATGTATCTTGAAAGATAAACTGCTCCCTCTGCTACATAGCCTAATCTCTTAACAGACAAATCTGCCCATGGGAGTCTGTTTTTCCACTCAGGAGTTCAACGTTGCAAGGAGTTTAGAATAAACTGTTTTCCTTTTCATTTAATACTTACAGTCTTATCACAACCATTTTTCTCCTTAATTCTTAATATTTACATATTTACACAGAATTAATATGCTGATGGATAAACTATTCTGTTACCAAACTGGATTGAGAAAAGTAATTTTGTTTCGCAGATAATCCTGGTATTTTGAAATCTAGTTTAAATTTGACTTGAAGTCACAACAGCTTGACACCCTGCATCAAAGACTGGAAAGAAGCCTGCAGATGCCATGTCAGGGATATTTCAACTGCCAGCATGAAGAGCTACATATTCTGGAAATATGCATTATCCAAACACTTTTCACTTGAAAAACAGCATTTCCAGGTGTTTTTCAAGGTTTACAGGCCAAAGGAAATCAAGAGCCCAGAATCATGAGCAGGAGAGCGTACTGCATTCTTCCGGATTCTTAGGAGCCTGTTTGGAATATGTAACCCAAAAGCCTGAACACTCAAGAGCTTTAGCTGAGTCAAAAGCCTGGGAACTACCACTCCTAGTCATCTAGTATATAGCAGGCTGAATGAGAAATAGAAGGAGCTGTGCCAAAAACATCCAAGCTTTGGAGCCAGCACTCTGAGGGTTTTCAGGCACCCAACTGCTACAGCCATTCCACTAAACCAGGGAAACGCTGGAAGCCTGGAAGCCCATGTTCCCAGGGGGCCACAGTTGAGCTGGCAGAAAAACACAGAAAACTCTGACAGGAATTGCCTCTCTTCTGAGCAACTTTATCAGAACTGAACTGTCTCCACAACACCATGTTAATCACAAATAATTAGCATTCCTCAACAAAAATAATTTCCTTGCAACTGTGAATTTATGCTGATTTTCATAAAATATGCTTTCCAATTATAAGATAACTTACTGCTGTTCTCCACCAACCTTCTAATCTGCTTGTATCTTCCTGAAATAAAACAGTATCATTGGATTACTGTGCCTAAGCTGTTTGAAGCAAAAGCACTTACTAAAGACTGGCCTGAAAATACACCCTTGTATGATGTGAGGCCTCTGCATCAACAGTTTTTTCTCTCACCTATATGCAGAATGTTTAGACATGATTATAATACCATTTTATCAGCATGTGCCTTTTCTGAGAATTTTCCTCCAGGGTTTTTTGAATTGCTGAAAATTCATGTTACTCAGTTTTATGGCGCTGAATCCTAAAGAACTTCTCAATCACTAAAAGGAAAACCTGACTGATGTCATTCATTAATGAATGAACTTTGATACGAGCACACTGTTGAAAAGTAATAACATCTGTTCAGACAAAAACATCTAATTCAGAAACAAATGAACTGTACTTGCCTGTTGTATGCCCACAGCATAGGTTTTTAAAAAAAAGTCTGAGAATTCAAAGTATTCTTTAGTTACATTTCCAGGACTTCCATACCTTTAAAAAGAAGAGGACACAGATATTTACATTGTGAGAAGTCTACCGTGTCAGGTAAACACAGTATTTTCTAAAACACAAAGGACCCTGAGTAGTCTTCCATCCTGAAGGAATCCTCTCCCACAGGTTACTTTTAAGCCATTATTTCCCATATAATGCCCCACTTCCCTTTTCTTATATTATCATAGGGTACAATACTACAATCAAGTAAATATAGCCACCTTTTTGTCACAAGCTCTGTAACTTCCATGTTTACAGATTTCTTTTCAAATCTTTCCCTGCCTTTATATTTGAGAAGAAAGCACTTGTAGCTCAATGTAGTAAAAAAAAAAAAAAGTTTTTTACAAATGTGCTTTTCTGTGGGCTAGTTTCTTGCCATCTTAAGAGAGTCAAATCATTTCACTGAGAGCTCAGACCAGTGGCTGTGACAGTGCAACACAGAGGACAGCAGCAGGAACATCACTTCAGTGACCATGAGCTGTTAAATCAATTAAACTGTCTTGTCTAATTATGCCTCAAGTAACCTTACAGATTTGTAACCCAAATTTGGTTTTTAATCATTTTTAATCTATTGTTAGTTTGTTACCGTTCAAAAAGACGAGCTACGATATGCAATGCCCACTTCTTGCACTTCCACCACACCAGCTCTGGTCTATCATCTTCATCAATTTGCAAAGTCTCCTATAAATAAACACATTTATTTGAATTAGCTGTATTATTTTAAATTTATTATATTAAATTTATTTTAAATTAGCTGTGAGAAATGATGCTTTAAACATTCCTTGCTGACTAAACTAATACAAATGCACAGCATCGACTAAAGTTTTGGTTCTGTTAATGGTTATATAATATTCAGGAACTTTCAAATATCTTAATTACTCAATATAACTGTATATATGCAATACTTGTACAATGCCTGTACTTTAATTTTCAAAATTATGCGTATTTAAAAACTCTCACATATACTTGAATACTACACAGTGGCATGCACTCTGGCTTAAAAATTAAGCATGATACTAACTCCTCCAAATATATACAGCCTAACTACATACTAATGCAAAAGCTATTCAAAGAATTTTAAGGTTGAAAAATAAAGTTCTAAAAAACTTAGGAAATGCCAGTTAATGTTGTACATACACAAACATGAATTTAATTACTCTTTTTGTGTTGTTCTTCAAGAAATGACAGATGGATGAAAGAAAAAGAGGAACAGAGATAGATGATGGGTTTGTAAAAGGCTTTTGATTGTTATTTGAGAGAAACCAGCTAAAATATTTAGAAACTTCCAAAATATCCAAGACTGGAGTTTACATGGTGTCACTACCTCAGACAATGAAAGTCTGACAGCTTACATGATCCCTCTGCTTTCTGTCAGAAACACCACTTATTCCAAGGATAAGAATCTTAAATAGATAACATCTTAAAAAAGGAACATCTTCACACCAACTGTTCCTCAAATGCCACACAGAAGTATCACAACCTTCAGAAAACTAAACTTACTGGAGGTACGTTTCTATCAATGATAGTACGGAAGATCTCCATCCACTGGGTCATAGTCTGGTTATTCACCAACTGGAGAGGCAATGCATACTGAAATAAGAAAAAACCCCACAGTCATGAAATACAAATTCTCTCTGGAAAAGGTAGAAGATGTTTCTACAGTACTTCCATTCAGAGGAAGATGAGGTTTTAAATAAAACTAAAACTAATTAGGTTAGATATCAATACTACTCTAATTGCAGCATTCTTGGTTCAATTTACAGAGGAATTTCTGAGCAGACAGTAGTTGAAGAAAATTCCTTGGTCTGAGAACTTGCTAACTCTGTTTCTTCCTCTTCTTCACAATAGCCCAGCTAAATTATAGGGACCACAGTAGGGTCCGTATTACAGGATTTGGGTAAACCAATAGCATTTTAGTAAGTCAAATGTACTCTTAGTTACCACCTAGCTACTACTAATAAATCTTACTTCTCCACAAAACCCAAACCGAAGTGACAGTATTGAGGCAAGCTACTGAAAAGTAAAATAGGATCTTGCGATCTTTTTAATCCTCTCCCCATCTAATAACAAACTATTTTAGCTTTTTAAACCCCAGTAAAAATTTTCAGGCTGCCTCTTATTTAGGATATTGTTCTGTTTCTCACTCTCTAAAAGTACTTCCTCACCAAACTCATCCCTGTAAAAGCCAAACTCATCTTCCTCAAATTCATGTGCCTCAATAAATAATTTCTGCCAGATCTTCAGAAGATAATGAGAAATGCTACCTACTGAAGTGCACTATATGACATTTCCACTACTGACACTTTCAGAGGCCAACTAGCACAGTCTAGATACCCATGAAGTTTATACCAGGTTATGTGTGACTTTATAAAAAAAGGAACATTTTTCTAGTAAGCTTACAGGTAGGACATGCAGAAGTACCAAGGTTCATTAAAAATGTAACCTGGGAGATCATGTGACCAGTTTTAAGTATGAAAAAATCTACTAAAATCATATTTTTATAAAAGCTGTTTATTGTACATGACTTCGCATCCAAATTGCTATTCTTACTCAATCACACCCATGAGTGTACTGAATGGGGTTGTGCCCAACAAAGTTTTGGCTTTCCTCTACACAGATGCTAACCTGAACAAGAGCATAGAAGATTTTTAAGATTTGTTTCTGAAGCAGTACAGAGTAATGGGAGTTATCAGGCAGAAGCTGGATCATCTGCTGCTGAATCCGAGGCAAAAATATTTGCATTGCTGCTATGAGAGGATCTCGCTCCTCTGCTTTTTTGTATCTGCAAAGGAAACAAATATGTTGGTCCAGGATCTACACACAAGAGATTCTAATGCCTATTCCCCAACAGCAATTTCATTTTTGTACCGTAAAAAAAAATTAAATTAATATCCAGCACTCATTCACTCTCCCCTCCTCTAGCCCCTGTCTGAACATTTTGAGCAAATTTACTAACCTATAAATAGAGAATTGAAAACCAACAAATGTTACCTTATATAAATGCAGCTATTGGGAGGAAGAACTAATGTTCTTTACTACTGAATTGTCAGCTCACAGGAGCAGGGACTTGAATTTCTCTGATGTTCATACCAATGCCAAACCCAAGTTGGGTGCCGAACAAATAGGAGTGAACAGTCATTGAAAGGGAAAGACAATTCCTTTGTTTGGAAAAGATTCTCTCTTTCTCCCTTTACATTTCTTTTGTGTGGTTTATACATATGTTTCTAACGACAGATAATAATTTTTTTTAAATGACTGAGAGACCTCACCACACTTCTCCGAATTTACACTTCATGGATTTAGACTGTGAGGAGGATGGTACAAATAACACTATGCAATAGGAGTATATGACAACAACAGTACTATATTCATGACACAGAAGTAGAAAATAATTTGCAATCATATATCCAGTATTTGAGGAATATTCAAACAAAAGAAGTTATAAATGCTTAAGAAGAAAGAAAGAAATTTTTCACAGATAGGTTAAATCAGATCAAAAGTACACAGCCTCAAGAAAAGATGTCAGTAAATTCATACAGATTATTGCTGGCATCTGTGCTTTCATTTCACTGATGATATAAAGATGATGAATAGTTTTCATTTATTTGCAGGAAAAGGAGCATATGATAACTATTAGTTCCCATTTTCTATCTGAATTCCTTGTAGAACTGCCAGTGCTCTTAATAATAATGTCATTCTCAGTAACCAGCTGAGACTAAAAATACTGATTCCTCATCTACTGATGGACATCAACTTACTCATAAGTCTTCACCAGCTGATACAGGCACAGGAGGCTTCCAAGCCAACTCCCACTGTTCTGAGACTGCAAATAGTAGCCTATCTTGTCCACCACGGCTGTCCAATGGCCAGGAAAGTCATGTTTAATGATAGCACGGAGGCACATTGTCAGCTGGGCTCTATGGCAGGAGGAAAATAGCAATATATTCTAAGTAATTAAGAACATGGCATAGTGTTTAATATTGAAGTATAGATCCCAAATCTTGGTTTATTGGCCACAATATATTATTACATCAAAAGTATCATACGTATTTTGACAGCACTGAAAGAGTTCTGGGAAGTGGCAGAGGAAAAGCAAGAAAAAACATCCCAGGGTATTTAAGGAAGAAATTAATTTCAGAACATTTTAGCTACTTTTCTCCCTTCCTCCTCCCTCTCTACACCCATCAGGCAATATCTGAAAACAATTAATTGCTCAAGAAAGCTGCTACCTTTGTATTTTGAAAATTAATGTTTATATTTCTACACACCTATGAGTCTGGAAGCAACCACAAAAACACAAATTTGTACAATTTTATTAAAGAATATTGGCCTGTGTTATGATCCAAGCCAGAGGCTCCTCATGAAATTACAATCTTCCTGGGACCTTCTAGAACCGCACTCTCTCAACCTCTAAAGCATATGACAGAGCCCATTAGGTAAAAACTTATTATTCCTCTCCCTTTACACATTTTTAGATGTCACTCACAATGGTAAGGCAAGATAGAATTGTTAATTGACTAAAGTGAGATGTGACTAAAAAAACTGAGCAGCACTGCACTAGAAGCTGTAAATAAATACTCTTGTCTCTGCTAAAGAATAATGTAAAAAGAAAAAAAAGTATGCAGAAAATATTGGTTCTTCTATGTTTAGTTTTCCTTGGGTATCCTCTTGCAGTCCATTACATAAGGAGCCACTATTACAAAGTAGTTCAATATGGGGCCCTCCACCTACTGATATAAACTTACGTCCCCCTCAAGCCTTCGGAGTTCATGCTTGTTTCTGATTTGATTCCTCCTCCCCGCTCATGCTCTCAAGCAAAATGTGAAAAATATCAGTATTACAACATCAGACTAGTTCCAGTAAAGTTTCTTGGACTTTTTTAACTTCTGACAAATCTACAAGTTTAGCCAGCATTTAAAAACCCTGTACTTTATTCCAGGTGATTGTCACGGGGTTTTCAACCCTCTTTTTAGATGTAGGTTGTCATTGTAACATCAAGGCATTTTGAGTATCAGGTTATGAAATTATGCCTGAACTAGTTTTCAAAAAACTCTTCAAAATTCCATTATTTTGCATTCTTTTGTATAAATCTGTCCTTGGTATTTATGACATGATGGCAGGGGAAACTACATGTCTTTATTACATTATCACAGAAACAACACAAGCATCCTTACCTTGTAGCACAACCTTGGCAAGGAGCACCTATCTCTTTCAGTGGAGACACTAATCATTGGCATCAGAATGTGTTAGAAAAGCTGAACTGGAAATGATGATTTAGTTCATTTTCTTGTCTCAGTACAGGACCATTTATACCCTAAGCATTCCTGGCATGCGTTTGTCTAATCTATTTGTAAAGACCTCCAGTGACAGAAATGCTATAGTCTAATGCATTCTGATGCTTCTTTAATTTTTTTAAGTGTTTTCTCTAATCCCAATTTCAATCTGTAGTCAATCACTCCTCTTCTGGATATAACTACTGACAAAAAGCACACCTTTGGTCACCGAGCTGGTAGAGAGGAGGAGGAGAGAAGAGGAAAGTTTCCTTCTGTTTTTCAAAGATGAACATCTATACACTACAGCCTAATCCCACCCTGTCAGCCTCACTTGAATCAGAGTGGTGAACAATCATATGTCTGTGAATTTCAACTATTCTTCCAGCAAAAAGACAACAGTGTTTCATCATTCTTTTAACATGTTAAAACCAAGAATGCTAATACACATTTAAATACTGAGGTTACATATAAAAATTGCAAAAGTAATTGAGAAAAGGGCTACTAGAAAAAAGAAAACAGATCTCAGGCAGTATTTCTCTGAATGGTTCATCCTGTATTGCAGATAGCCCTCTATACTATCTGCTCTGAATCAGCCAAACAAACAGGCTGTCACTACAACAAGTGTTATAAGACACTTTAAACAACACCATAAGAGAATAAATCACATCACAGGGCTCTTAGCTGAGTTATTACATTTCTGAAAAACAAGTGCACATAAATATGTTAAAACTGATTATTACATTTTCAAAACAAGCAGCTGCTTCATCTGCCAAGAAATTGAGATCTCACATTAACTACATCGGGACTGGTAGGTCTGAGAACATGAGCTATAGAAATATCTCTACACAATGTGAGGTACCTCACTAAGTCAGGAGAACGAATTATTCCTTCTACAATGTTATCACGAATCTGTTGACGATCATTTTCATGAATGTTGAATGGAAATACTGCTTCTCCAGGAGGTGGCTCACGGTCCGGCCAGTACTGTGTCACCATGTTCTTCAGGTAAATGGCAGCTAAGTATAAACATTGGGGAAATAATAATTTAATTCTCACACATCTCCACATTACTCCATGCTCAACATGTAGTACAGTCGAAAGTAGAACAAAGAGTTGAAAAGACAATTAAAAACCACTGCATGAGTTCTTAACAGTTACAGGCACTAAGCACAGCTTTTTTAATGATTCCACACAAGATCAGCCTTAAGTGCCTGGTCCTAAACAGAATAGGATAGTATTTAGTCAGCTTCTGTTGGGGTACATTCTTTATTACATCAGTCTTCCATATGGACATAATATTCCATCATTCTAAGCAAGCAAACAAAACTCTACTTATCTGCATATTTACTCATCCCTTAAACAACTACTCAAGCTTAGTAAGTAAAGTTTTGGAAGGCTCATGTAAACAAATCACTGCACACACAGATGGGACACTCTGCTTGGGGAAATGCCCAGTACGAAACTGGCACATGACCTACCTTCTATTCAAACAGAAATGTTTGTTGTGAATTCTCTAAGCTTTATCTCACTATTAGGATTTCCCATAATCCTTTAGAATTGTTCCCTTCTGTCTCACGTGAAAAACCATGAAAAATAAAGTTAATCTTCAGCTGAAAATAAAGCAGCATTTATGCCTCAGTACTAAAATGTCTGTAGGCATTCTTCATGAAATGTAGGAAATACAGTGTAAGGAATTAAAAGAATGTTCTTAATAAACTACTATCCCTGTACTATTTTGGTTGATTACTAGTTAAGAGTTTAAAGTATAAATAAGATATCCTTGGGTACAATAATTTTTCTTGGTGGTGACAAATTACAAAGTATAAAAACATGTAGTTTGTAAAATATTTTATAGGAGCAAGAGGAAAAGCAGTCATTTGACTATGACGTGCCAGAATATTCATACAAGAAATAGGTCCAGAAAGACCAGCCCAAGACTTTAACTTACTTTGTCCATAGATCCTGTTGTTATAAAAATTTCTGGCTTTTAAAAAATTTCCAAGGAAATCTGTTGACTTGCATAATTTACATATGTTTTATTATTTTAAACCCCTACTCTATAAAAAAGGAAAATTAAAAAAAATATATATATAAAAATTAAGTTCTACATACTTGGGTTTTTTTTCTCAAATGATACTGAAATGAGAGATTAATTTATAAAAATGACTCACGGAGTCTAGATTAAGCATCAAACTTTACTACAGAACAGTTTAACAATGCCATTCAAAGTTGGATTATCTTTGAAAAAATAAACACCAGCATGACAAACAGCATATGTCAGCATGCCCCAACAGACTCAGAGGATTAATAGGATCTGTACAAAAAAACAGAACAGTGCTTCTATGGGAAATGTTGTTCATTCAACAGAGCTGTGAGCGAAACAATATTCATCAGTTTCTTGAAAAAGCCACATATTTTCTGTACCTGTCAAAAATACTGTATAGGAATAGTTAAAACATATTATGAGAATTTAGAATCTAATCTTATAGAAATGTATAACCTAAAGTCAATTGCATCAGCATACCTGAACTCACACACACAGTTAGGCAATCTTTCTAGACATGTTCAGACTATAAATTCATAATTTATCAGTGATGGTACCTTCCTTCATACCTACTTTTGTGAATGGACACCATAAATATTGACTAAGCATATATGGCTATCCTTGACCTAGTGAACTATAGGGTTTTTTCATTTTTCAGAACTTCCATTTTTTCAGGAAAGGGGATCCAAAGACACAAACATGTACTCAAATGAGATCCACTTTTTTTAAATTTCCACTTGTCTTTGCATCACTACTTCTTCACCACCAGGAGAAAGAATACCTAAGGCTCCCTGGGTACTCAGTTTTGAGCAGAAAACATTCTCTTTTCATATCAGTATCACAGCAATACAGTAGGGATCACTACAAACACGGGGAAGCCAAAGCAGGACTCTACCTCATACTCATGGCTTTATCTGACCCTCATGTAGGAAAGAAACAACAAAGATATACCCTTTTCATTTCCACGTGCAGAACAAACGTGAACTTACATACATTGCAACAACTCAATACTCTGTCGAAGTAATTAGCAGACTGACTTACTACTGAAAGTGAAACAAGGAATTTATCTCACCTGCTTGACGCACTGGAAATTCAACTTGATCTGATACTATGATTTGCAGTAGACTTGGAGCAAAATTGATGATCTTATAGGACTGAAATACATATAAAACACAGTTAACAAGTCAGTATGTCCAAAGACGACTGTATTACCAAAAGCTGAATAAGAAATACAAACTAAGTATTCTGCAGCGTTCTTTGGTTCTGCTCATGAAGTATGAAAGGTTTTAGCCTTAGGTTTACCCAGATCTGCAGAAATCCAAATAGTTTCTTGTAAAAGCTGAGCATATAACAGTGCATGGGTGAAATAAGTAATGTGGCAAGGCTCTCTATTAGAGATTAGTGATAATGAATATTCAAATAATTCTGAGAATGCATAATGAGAAGCACTACAAATCTTGAATTATTTAACTTAGCCTCGTAAGTCAAATGGATATTGACATGATTCATCAATACATACCATTTATTTGCAAAATAGATTGTGATATAATAGCAATACTGGATTTTGAAGAGATTAAGAAAACCACTTGAAATTATTTTCAAGTGTAAACAACATCTGCATTAGCCATATATTATACAGCCATCTTTTAACAAACTAGATGTATAGTGCATCTTAACAGAGAAATAAAAACTGGGGAAACACAGTGGAATAACCATTTTTAATTAAAATCAAGCATACACAGATAACATTTCAAAACCCACAGCCTTCCTGGGAACTTTTCAAACACTACATCAGCCATGCAGCTGAAGAATTTCAAGAGAAAACAATGCTCACTGAACTTCGAGCAAAGCACACCAGATTTAAAAGAAGTGAAAATCTGATAGCATTATACTGTTGTCATTCAACAGGGGTCCTCCAACGCGAAGAATTGTTGACTCAGCGTGGTGCAGTTACTGCTAAGCCTTGGCAACATCACTAGTTACCAGTAAGTTAGATCTTTCATCACTTAGATCCATGTGCATTATGTTCAAAGAGAGATGTTTCTTGGGGCTAGATGGCAGAAGCTTTCTTTATTTCATCTTTAACAGTATTTCTTTCCAACTAGACTATGCCTGGCAGTTCTGTGGTTGTTTCCAGAGCTGTGCTTTAAGTACAAGTATACTACATCCTCCTGTAAACTTGGCCTCATTTGAAAGCTGTGAAATAAGAGGTACATTCTACTCTTCATGCACCCAGTTCCTTGATTTAACATTTCCATAATGAGGTAAAATTACACTGCTTTCATGACACCTAAGTGTAACATCTGCATCACAACACTATCATTCAATAATTTTACCAAATCCCTTAAATTTCTGGCCCTCATTTTACTCATTATAATGATAGTAATTTTAACCTCCTCTCTGTTCAGAGACTCATTTGATGTTTATAGAGTAATCTGAGATCTCAGATAAAAGCAGTAACAGCAAATCAAAAGCATACTCTCCTGCAATTCCCTCCACTATAAATTTTAATTATCCCTAAGAAATGCTTGAAATAAAGTAAAAGCTGTAACAGACAGCACAGGAACTCCATTTATCTATGGACATGCTGAAATACCAGCTTTCAATGTCAACTGGTTGAAGCATGCTGGATTCCAAAGACCACCTTTTAATGGAGTATCCTGGAATCCAAAGCTTGCCCTTCAATCGCTACTGGGCAGAATCTGTACAATGTTGGTGGGTTCTGACAGGGGCCGCAGCAGGCAATAGCATCCTCCAGCGCTCACCACCCAACTCCTAGAGAGATAAGGAAAGCACAAGGAATCCCAGCAGCACAGAAAGCCAAAAATGTGCATGAACACTAATCATCCTTTGAAATAGTGCCAATATGCTCTTCTCAGATCCAGTTTGCACACAGCTTTTACTACTATAAACACACCTATTAAGAATGCAACCTTTTTGGGGGTTGTTTTGTTGCTGTTGTTTTCCTGCAGTAGTCCTACCAGTATCACATTTAGGGTGAATACAGTGAGTACAGTATAAATTATTTCCCTTTCTTTGTGCAAACAGCTTTTACTGAATCTACATTAAAGTCATTGCTACTCCAGGAAGCTTTATTGGTACCACTTGTGCTGGCGTACAACTGCTACCCCTGAAGTTTTGCCAGGATATATACAAATACAGTTATTTGGCCTGTGCAGCAAATCCTCTCAGCAAGTGCCTGGAGTGACAAAAGACATGTTATGCAGAAGGTACGCAGAGCGTCTCAGAGGGGGCCTCATCCCTACCAGCACACTGCTATGAGGGTTTCTTTACACTTTACACAGTGACACCCCTAAAGAGATCACCAGGACACAGTATTAGGCTCCCACTAAATCCTTTTACTCCGTACTACTGTCATTACCATAATTCACATTTTCACATAGCTTTGTTTTCTACTCTTTATCAGAAATACAAATGCTGTAGAGATCAACAGAGATTGTGTGCCCATTTTAGAAACAAGACACCCAATTCTGTTGCATTTGTGAAGCTCAAATATCATCCCGCTCACTTGTGTGGCAACAAACCCGGTCAGGAAAACTACATGCCGCTTGCAATTTTTAGAACAGAGGACTTTTTAAAAAGCTCCATGCAGCAACATTTTTCCTATACCAGCACATTCTTGTTGGTTTAGCTGTCATGCTAATTGTGGTCTTGGGATGTATCCTTTCTCTGCCTTGCACAGGAAACCATCCAACAGGCTCCTGGACACCAGCAAGTAAAGCTGTATGAATCACGTGAGCAGGTGCAGAGCAGTTGTCAGGTGTATACTGTGTAAATGGGAAGAGACAGGGAAGAGACCTCGGAGCTGTATGAGTTCAGCAAGACAGTTATTTATATTGTTACAGATGCAGCTAAACTTTTACAAAGGGAGAGCTGGAATATCGTCAGTCCCACAGAAGGAATGGGATCTGCTCAGTTTGAAGAGCCATGCCCAGGAGCCACAGGGAGGCACCAGATGGCTGAAAAAGACCTTCAGCCCAACTTGCGTGATACAGCATGCTGCTTTGTGCAGTTTATGAATAATTACATTGCCTTGAATTCACATTGTTGTGATTTGGTAAAACTTTCTGTGAAGGTGCTGATCAACGGCATTTTATTTTGAAGGAGAGAGTAAAAGTTTTTTAAAATAAACTTTCACTGAGTACTTACAAAGAATGATTATTTTAAAGCTATGTAAAACATACTGACTGCTTTTGCATGAATCACAGATCAGAGCATTTATACTAAAAAACAATTTAATCTAATTTTTATTGAGATTAAGAGGATGGAATACAGCAATGTGCAAGACTAGCAGCTAAACTGGGAGAGGCATACAGCACTGTTAAGATGCAGTTGGATACATTTACAGCAATGGAGAAGAGATGCACGTGTCCCCATGCATCTTGTCCCATCAGTGTCCACTGCCTCAGGATCTGTGCACTGCAGCTGTACAGCTTTCTGCACTCCATCCTTTCACCTTTGGTCTAACATGTATTCTTCCCCATCTCAGCATCACAGATTCAGTCTTCAAAAGATCAGAGAACACATCATTTTTTGCCTATTTTCTCTTCCATTAGATTAGATACAGAACAGAGGACACCCAAGAAAGCCTCAGGTGGGCCACGGGAAAACAACAAGATGAACATCACACGTAAAGGACTAGAATGCAATGAGAGATAAGCAGGAAAAATATATAAACATTTCCCCAAATGGATCCTACTGAAGCAAACACTTTTCACATCTAACATTCAGATCTGGCTTTCAGGTTATCATTCATTATATACTACTAAACTCATTTGAGCAAGCATTATGCTTGAGTCTTGCTTGCTGTCACATTTAAAACCCACAGCAAGCAACTGCTCCATAATCACATTTGTCAGTAGACTTCCCACTGCACTGATGGCAACCACAGTGGCTGAGTGTGGAACAGCACTGGAAGGTGCTTCTTCCCCTGCAGAACAGCAACAGGACAATCTAGGACAATGGATATAGAAAACTAAAGCCTTCGCTTCGGTTCTACAAGGGAAGACAAGATCATCCTCCTCCACCAGCAGTAAACATCTCTCTGTTCCTCTGAATCCAAGTATGGCACATAAAAATTGCTGAAAAATCAAGGCACTATCTCTTTGCAAAGACAAACACAGAAAAAATTTGTACCGTGAATACATAAGCAATTAACCGCTTACAAAGATTATTTGAAAGCTTATGTACATTTGATCCGAAAGCTGAACTATCTGGTTTACTAAGTTTTATTTTCTATTTTCTATGCACTGAAAATATGTTACTGAGAAATTCCATCAGTATTTGTCACATGCAGGAATATTTTACATTTGTTAACAGTATTTTCTCTCCTGTTTTTTACACTGTCAGTCACAGACAGCTGTTAAAACGAACTAGAACTTCAAAAGACACCTTCTCTTTCCCTGTTGACACCCAAAGGTATTGGTTGGGGCAGGGGGGGGGAAACACAGAGCGTTTTCATACACAGTGAAAATAAGCATGTGTAAGAATCTACCTGAGCTTTTTTCCTCAGTGGGTTCTGCTGCCAAATTAATCCAGTTTTAAACAAACTCCACTTTCCACACAACTTCTACTCATGAAAGTCAACTTCCTCATCAAATTGGTCTTCACTACAAATACCTGAGATTCCTTCCTCTAGGTAACATGAGGTGCTCACTGTCACTTTGAGTGGCCTTCAGATCCTTGCCTACTCTGACAGCCAGCTCAACAAAGATGTGGAAGGTATGGAAGGAAGCCCAGCTTTATTCTGGACTCTTCTGCTTCTGGGCAATCTTCTCTCACTTCTTTCTGTTCTTCCAGCACTGCCACTCAGTTCCTGTCAAAGCCAAATTCTGCAACTCCTTCTCAATATTTAAACAAGCAGCTGTATTTCTGCAATTGTGATCTTATTTCCCCCCTAAGAAAAGGCCAAAGAAATGTATTACAGCAGGTTGAACCAATTAATATTAATGCATAAATCTGCATGATATTCTATCTGAATTGGAATCAGAATGACTTTGTACATTCACACACACAATCAGAGAGTACATTCCACAATACTCCAAGAACTGGCACATGAAAGCAGTATTTAGCCACTAAAGAAAACAAAAATTAAAACCAGAAGTCCCTGAAGTCCATGAGACAGATCTAACAAGAGTAATGGCCTAGAACAGATATCAAAGAAAGGTGCACAGAAATTGAATCTTTCTTGGTATGATAATTGACTGTTCTAGTAAGTACAGTGTGATTGATAAATATCATAAAGTGCACACCAATTATGATGTGACAGAACTGAAGAAAAAAATGGCGTGAGAACAAAAGAAAAGAGGGGGATGGAATGATGTGCACACTTATCAACAGGCTAAAAGGAAAAAGACAGCAGTTACATGATAGACTGACCTAGCAGGAAATTACTGCTCTAGTTTATCAAGAATCACATTTCAGACAAATCCCACACTCACATTTGTGTTCAGGGGACTGAGAGAAGTGAAGTTTGTTGATGACTCAGAAGTGGAGTAGCATGCATCACCCAAGAAGGTCGGTCAGAAAAATCCTACAAAGAACTGAATGATCTTTAGAAGTGCACCAACAAAAATGGAACGGGTTAATCAGACAAAGTACATGGTCATGCACTCAAAAATAATATGAATTTCTCCTAAAAGCTTGAGGTTTCTTAGTGAGGAAGTCCTTTACACCCTCTTACCATGAGGTAAAAGGACCTCAGTATATTAAGTGATAAGAAACATGTAGACACTGGACACAAAGAAGGTAATTGTAGTTTTAGGGGATGTATGAGGTACTAGTGGCATGGAGTGTAAGACTTTCTGGAAACACAAATTATCAGATTGCACAAGAATGATTAATTCAAAAGGAAACAAGTACGGAGAAGATCTGTGCTCTCCTATCACTGGATTTCATAAATGCACTTTTATGATAAGACAAAGGAAATACAGCCTGTTGCGGCTAGGAAAAGAAGCCAGTAGGGATTAGCCTTTGACAACTACATCAGATAGGGTACCAAGAAACCTATTCTAGTTAAGAAGATTGGCACAAATGGATATAAATGGACCATAAGTTAATTTTGTCTGGAAACCAACACTTGTTGCTAGCTGTGGGAGGAAGAAAATTCACAAACAGCCTTCCAACAGACATAATAAGGGTAAAAAAAGGGAATCAATTCCATTTCTGAATGCAGTCAGATGATGATCCAGAAGGCAGACAGCAACTTCACTGGTTTAGCTCTATCTTTACACGGGTGCAGGAACACATGGAAGAGGCATTTTCAAACATGCTGGGACTTTTACAGGTAGGCAAGCTTTCACTCATTTGAACTCCATTCCCAATGTTCTATGCTGTAAGCAAATTATGGAGTTGGGACTATTATTATATTGTTCTAAACAACTTTCTCTATGGGTACAAGCAGTGAGGTGCCTACAAAGAGGTGCTATATTGGTGGACTAGTAGGATTTATACTCTCTGGGGAGCTCCTGTCACTACCTGGATTCAAACTTGAAAGCAAATGTGCACCACAGATGGGCTAACACAAAAGAAGTCTTACCTCGACACCCATTAGCATGTATCAGGAGCAGCATCACTAACTATTGCACAGAATAAAGGTGACATCTGTCTGTTTGGTCAAGTGTTATATTACCACTTCAAGGACTTATTGTTGGAAGGCTTTCTGTTTGGTTGGGGGATTGGTTCCTTTGCTAGAACAAGATAAATGCTGGAACAGCATCTGGATTCCAGTACTTGTAGAAACACAGCGACATGTCAACACTATCATTAGATATGTGGGAGTCTGACATGTCACTTTGAAGTCTTGCTTCAAAAGCACTGAAAGGCTTCAAGATGTCAAAGGCCCACATTATGCAACATTCCTCAGGAGCACTTTTGTTCCACTCATCCAAAGAATCATGTCAAACCCAGCACTGCATCAGTATATTATGTCAGCCAGATACATCATGCTTCATTTAGTAACAGGAAGCCTACACAATAATAGATATGTCTTAATTTCAAGATTCATTCTTTATAATAGTTAGAAAAGAGAAAATGTGCCAGCTATTTTAAATAAAAATCTGTATCTCAATCTGTTCTCAATAAATATACTTGCACTCTTGAATTTAAAATCTGTGTCTTTCAAGAGAACTGCATTATCCATCACTTGAACTTAAAATATTTTACAGATCTCAGTCTTAAAACACTTTCAAAACTTTTCCTGAGCTTCACATCATTTAATTCATGATGTTAAAATGACAGCATTAGGAGCAGGACCCCGGAATCCTGACAGCTGCCTATTTGATCTGAGCCTGCCAAACATGCAGCAGTTTATTATTGTAGTTTTGACTCCTGTGCAACAGGCTGCTAACAAATATTTATAATTTCCCTCCAAGTCCTTAATAGTAGGGATAAAAATAGGTACTGATAAATTTTTAAAGTAACTATGCCAAATAAAGAAAAAAACTTTTGCATTTTTATCTAACTATCCCCAAGCACATTCTCATTGTCCAGCACTTAATCCACTGATTTACGGAGGGAACTTGCCAACAGCTAAAGCAAGGATTAGCTGTATCTAATTCAGAAGGAGTTTTAAATTGCCTAAATAGAAAATTAAGCCGGAGGAGCAATCCTGAAGTAATTCCTGACACCCAATATACCCTTTTGTTAATACACCAACACTGCCGAAAAATCCAAGTTGTCCAGTAGAACTGACCAACTATTCCACTGAAGTATAAGGGTTAAAGCTGTATTAATGCTGTGCAAGGCAACCTTGCTCTTTTCTCAAATGTCCAAATTGAGATTGTTGCCACAGTTTTGATTCAGTGCATACCACCGCTACATTAACTGTGGGATGCTGTGATAAATGCCCATAAAAATCTACTGTGCGTTTCTCAAAGCTGAACTTGGCACGCTGCTGAACGGGACAAAATTAACCCCTCAGAGTCACTGCGATCTACCATCGCAGGTAAGAGCGAGGGAGATCCGAACAGAG